ATATGCGAAAGACACCTGGGCACTTCACCACCAGCTCAGGCCAAATGACCAACCTCGAAAAAAAACCTCTGATAGTCCAAGTGCCAGAAGAATGCCAGCACTGTTGGAATGCGACTTCAGCACGTCATACGGAGGACATCCAACCGCCAACACACGGTCTGTCTTGCTGTCGCAAACACACGACATAACACGGCGAGAAGCAACGCATGACCAGCATGATCAGCGCCACCAGCGCTGGAAACGAGGTAGAAAGCAGCGGCAAGCAGCAGCGCATCATCCACCCACGCTGTACCGATACAGGGCGATGCGAGACAGGCTGGCTGACCTCCGACTCTCACACGATGACGGCGCACGGCCCAAGTGGCATCGCATCCCGGCGCGTGGAATGGATGCGCATGATCAAGGGAAGGAAGGAGAGCATGCCGGGGAAGGACGGTGTTCCGTACTCGGCCTGGAGGGCCCCCGCTGCCGGTCTGCTTCTTCTGGAGTGCCACTTCGCCGCTGGCAGAACCTTCGCACTGGGGCCCCCGAGGACATGAAACGCACCCTCATGGTTCTTCTCCCCCAGAAAATTCGCGAGCGTGAAATTGGTGAAGGAGTTCATCGAGAGCCAGCGGTTTCCAAATCCAACGGCATGACTAACACAGAAGCTTGTTCCCGCATATATGGCGATGGTCTTGGCAAGGAGATTCGCCGGGCACTGTCCGCTCAGCCCGCGTCCGAAATGCTTCCGTGGTCGCGATATGCTCGCCAATGTGATGGAAGCGGAAAGCGTCATACTTTCTCATCGCCTCCGTGATCGATTCACGAATGGCCTTGTCCTTGCGGACTTCGAATCCACCTTCCCCTCCACCAAGATCTTGGGCCCGCAATGAAGGTGCTATGCTCTATGGGTGCCCCTCTCGCCATCGTTCTCTTCTTCCAGAACCTCCACCTGAATGACGCCGCCCTCATCGGTAGATTCGGTCGTACCTCTCGTTCTTTCCGCTTCCGCATCGGCAGAGGCGCGCGGCAAGGAGGCCCAAGTTCTATGCTCCGCTTTGCTTTGGAAGATGAACTTGTGATGGCATGGCTTGAGGCGCGTCTCCCGATGCACATCACTTTGACGTTGGCATACGCTGACGACTTCTGCTTTGGCCTGAGATGCCTTTAAGGTGGTGTCAAGCCCCCCTTTCGGAGTCTGAATTAGTTCAATCGGGTTACAGGGGCGCTCAATTTCCCGAAATGTCAGGTTGTTCTGGTTCATGACCGTCTACCTGAACGTCTGCTGGATCTTCTGGGTGACCTTGTGGGCCCTTACCACCTCATCGAAATCGTTCTCCGTCTCGAAGATCTTGGGATATGGACTGGGTCTCGGGCTGGAGAAGTTGCTCTCAAAGAAAGCGCGGTCAAGCTCGGGGAGCGTGCTCGAGAAGTTCGTGACCTTGGGCGTGGATTGGCCCAATCCATTATCCTTGTTTCAAAACGTTGTGCATCTCGCTCCTGTACTTCGTGCTCCAGCTTCACAGGCTCTCTTGTGAATTTGACAGGGTATATCAACCGTGCGTCTTTTATTTGCCAGTCCTCACAATACCCTCTCCTATGACATGCGAATTAGCCTCACGATGCACGGTTTCCCCATCGAATTCCCCGCCCCCCCCCCCCCCCCCCTCATTGCAGATGCGACTCGATCCCGCTATATTGCCCGATGCGACGAACTTCTACGCACCCGCTCCATAATTTCAAGTGTATTTGCCGGTGATGATTGGCGCCCGCATCGTCGACTCACTGGCTGATGCACAGCCAGCTTCCCCACGCGCATCTTTCTCGTACAGGACGAGCTCATGGCTCGCAGCTGACCCATTGAATACGAGCGTTCTGATGTGCAGAAGCAGCATGTGCGAGTGGTGACATTAGCACGTTCCCGCCGCCCCCCCAAGACGAAGCTCCTCTTCGTCGCGCTTGCGCCTGGATGCCTGGGACTTCTCGCCTGAACATCGGTCGCGTCTGTGCCGGGGCCAAGGCCCACGCGAGGCGCGCCAGCACGTATGCCCCCCTGGCCAACATTCGCATCATATCGCTCTGTGCCTGCGCGAGCTCGAGGTTCCACGCTGCTCCTCGGCGTTGCATTCTTGGTTGTCCATGCCCCAACCGGCCCCTGGTCGACATAGATGGCATGAAGAATTACCTGGTCTGCCCCAGGCTCTGACTGATACTCTCTACTTGGGTGGGCCCTTGGGATTCGTGGTCTCTCGCGGGTTTCCTGAGGGTTCGCCCCGGCTTCACCGTTACCTTCTGTTTCACGGGATCGGCCCTGATCAGTGTCTCCTGAGTACTTTGTTTTGCGATGCCTTCCTCAGCATGCGCACTGACAGCCTTCCTCTCAATCCCCGGCAGCAGTTCGAGGCCCGTCTTCGCACTCGGGCGCGGCGGCTCCGCGCGCGTCGCATAGTCGGGGCTGCTCTCACACGTGAGCAGTTTCACCGCGAAGAGGCGCTCCTCCCCAGTCAGTGACGTCTCCTGGCTGGCATGCTGCCTTCTGTCTGCTGGCTCCTTTCGGGCGCTGCCCTGTCATTCTCTCTTCTGCGCTTCTGCGCGCGCCCCCGCCTTCTCCGAGTTGGCGGGCGCTTCCTGAAGGGCAGCGGGACCCGCGCCGTGGGGGCCAGCGAACTGCTCCACCTGAGGGTGGACCGCCATCTTCAACAAACATCACTAAGTCGGCGGGAACTGAAAATTAGCTCGGCGAAGGACCCGACCATGCGCAGTTGTGAATACCGCAAAGGCGAATTCCATCTTCGCCCGCACCACCAACGCGCGGTCGCGGCTTCCCGCCGGAGCCCGACATGCCCGGGGGCACGTTCGCTGTCGTCATCGCAGGCGCCGACGACGACGAGGAGGTTGCGCTGCACGTCGACAAGGCGGAGCACGACGCCCAGGCGCGGTTGTTGAAGCAGCACAACTACGAGGCCACGATCTTCGTGAGGGGTGTGCCCAAATGGCCCGAGGCCGCCATGCGAACCCTGCCATTGGCGCCTATTGGTGGAGCTCCCATGGGGCCACGATCCTTGTGAAAGATGTGCCGAACTGACCCGAGGCCGCCATGCGAACCCTGCCACGGGGGCCTTCGGTAGAGTCCTACGAGGCCACGATCCTCGTGAGGAGTGTGCCGAAATGGCCCGAGGCTGCCATGCGAACCCTGCCTCTGGCGCCTTCGGTGGAGCCCCCCATGGGTTTCGATCCTCGTGAGGGGTTTGCCGAAATGGCCCGAGGCTGGCATGCGAACCCTGCTACTGGCGCCTTCGGTGGAGCCCCCATGGGGCCACGATTCTCGTGAAGGGTGTGCCGAAATCGCCCGATGCCGCCATGCGAACCCTGTCCTCTTCTTCTCTTCCCCCTCATCCCCCTCATTTCTCCACCCTGCTATCTCCTCCTCCTCCTCCTCCTCCTCCTCCTCCTCTTCCTCCTCCTCCTCCTCTTCCTCTCCCTCCTCCTCCTCCTCCTCCTCCTCCTCCTCCTCCTCCTCCTCCTCCTCCTCCTCCTCCTCCTCCTCCTCCTCCTCCCCCTCCTCCTCCTCCTCCTCCTCCTCCCCTCCTCCTCCTCCTCCTCCTGCTCCTCCTCCTCCTCCTCCCCCTCCTCCCCCTCTTCCTCTTCATCGTCATCAGCAGCATCATAAGTTTATCAGTATGTTCCTCTTCCTCACCCTCCTCCTTTTCATCTTCGTCCACCTCCTTCCTTCATCTTGGCTCAAGCGATCGCATGGCCTCGCCCACGCGCGCCCCCTTCTCGGCGAGGCGCTGCTGCGGGATGTCGGGGCCTAGAGGGGCTCCCTCGGCCCTCGGCTCCTCCCTCGGGGAGGCCGCCGTTCGGGCCGCGGTGCTGGCTGGGCGCCGCGCCGCACGGTTGCGGCCGTCACGAGGTCGGCCATCTCCGCAACGCTCTTCGCGTGCGGGGAGCGGCCGCCGCGGACGGCCGCGGCCGAGCCTGCTTGCGCGGTTGCCCCCGATATCGACGCGTCGCCTGCTGCGCGGCCTGCCGCTGCGGCGGCGCGGACGGCGCGGCGGAGGCGTCGACGCCAAGCCCTCGCTGTTCGGCGAGCGGCGGAGGCGTCCCCCTCTGCGGCGGATGGCGGAGGAGGCGCTGATGCCGGCGGTGTGGACAGGGGCCTCGTGCTCGTGCAGGTGCCGCTGGAAGAGGGGCCCGCTGCCACGGAGGAGGTTTCGGACGTGCTGGACGACGAGTGGGCCGACTCGGCCCCAGTGCCGCGCGGCCCCCTCCCAGGGCGTGCCACGCTGCGGGGCCGGCTCCTGGTGGCGGCTGCTCGGCGGCTGCGGTTGGCGGTTCGGGCGCGGTGGCGCTGGTGCGGCCGTCGGCCCCCGCGGCGTCGGCGGCGGTCCCCTCCCTCGGGCGTTCCGCGGAGGAGTTCGAGGCCAGCCGCGACCTGAAGAAGAGAGCGGCGGCGATCATCGCTCTCGGACGCTAGCGTGGTCGGGGGGCGATGCGGGCCCCCCGTGCACATTTTTTCACTGCCCAGTGGCCCTCGCCCCCTGTCGAACGGCCGTGGGATGACGTCTCCCCTGCGGTGACACTTGCTCAGGGGGCCGCCAACCTTTCTGTACAGGTTGCGCGGCAGGCACGGGGGAGGATTTGCCCTCCCCGACAGTATGCCGTGCGGTGGCGCTGGAGTGGTTTTATCTTGCTCTGGCCACGGGGCGGTCGCCCGTCGTGTGGCCAGTGCCTCCTAGCCCATGGGGTTGCTGGAGGTATTCTTTCGGCCAGCGAGGTACCCCTCAGTACCAGCAGCGGTTTCCCAGCCGCCGTTGCTGTGCTCACCAAGGTTGTGCGGGCGTTGAGCTCAAACAAATCATCCTCCTTCCCTCTTTTTCCTCTGCCTCCGCGTCCTCCTCATCCTCCCCCATTCCCTATCCCGTTCCGTTTCCCCCCCCTTTCTCTCCTTCCCCCCCCCCCCCCCCCCCCCCCCCGCCCCTCCGCCCCCCCCTCCTCCCCGCCGCGCCGCGCCGCAGGAGGACGTCGAGGGGACGGGCCAGGTGAAGTATTGGCACCTGAAGAACTCTTGGGGCAGCGCTTGGGGCGAGGGCGGCGGGCTCGGAGAGCCCACGCGCGCGCGCGGGGGGGCAATCGGCCGCGGCTGCGGCGCGCGGGCGGCGAGACGGCACCAGGAGGGGAGGAGGAGGGGGAGGAGGAGGAGGAGGAGGAGGAGGAGGAGGAGGAGGAGGAGGAGGAGGAGGGCGTGGAGGAGGAGGAGCGAGGAGGAGCGAGGAGGAGCGCGGAACGAAGAGCGAGGGCGACGAGGGGGGAGGGAGGAGGAAGGAGAAGGGAGGAGCGAGGAGGAGGGAGGAAGTGGGAGGAGGGATAAGGAGGAGTAGGAGGAGGAGGAGGAGGAGGAGGAGGAGGAGGAGGGGAAGGGGGAGGAGGAGGAGGAGGGGGGGGGGGAGAAGAAGAAGGAGGGGAAGAGGCGGAGGAGGAGGAGGAGGAGACCAAGGAGGCACGTAACGTATTGGTGAGACCCCGCGGAGCCGGCTCTTGGTGCACGCATCGAGATCGGGACGGCCAGCTTTTGGTGTGCGACTCTCTTGATCGCCCTGTCACAAGTCGGCCTGGTGGCCTCGGGGGCCCTCGGCACATTCACAATATAACTACGACCGTCTCCCCCTTGCCTGCTCCTCGCACACCTCTCGATTCCTCTCTCTGTTAAGTTATGTGGTATGTCTATCTCTCTGTATATATATCATATATATATGTATGTATATGTAGCATGTATGTACACGAATAATGATCCCTCACATATCCCTATTTCTCTCTCTCTCTCTCTCCCTGTTTCCCCCCCTCTCTCACACTTTCTCGATATATTTATGTGTGCACATCTATATATATATATATATATATATATATATATATATATATTATATATATGTATTTATCTCTCTCTCTCTCTCGTTCGCTCTCTCTCTCTCTCTCTCTCTCTCTCCTTATGTATACATGTTTTTGTTTAGGGCCGGGGACCCCAGAAACAGCGAAGACACACACACACACAACTAACGAATTTGGCCCACCGCGGGCCTCTCGGGCAACCCTCCAGACGACCCCTGAGAATCCCACGAGAGCCCGAAGACGGCCCCAGAGGGCTCCAGACGGTCCTGCGCGCTCCCGAAACAACCCCAGAGAGCCCCAAGACGGCCCACGACGACCCCAAAGAAGCCGTCATACCCCCAAAAATCGCTCCAAAACGTTCCACGAGGCCTCAAAGAGCACTCCCAAGAAGGCCCCAAGAGGCAAAATTCCTTGATTTCCTGTTGGTTGTTGGTGAGTTTTAGGGATCTCCTCTATTCGGCTTCCTGACGCTCCAAGACGGCGATCTTCTGAGCGTCCGAAGCCGCCTGGGAGGCTCGACGATCGCCCCACAACCATCCGAAAGGGCTTTCAGGCAGTCCAAGAGAGCCACAAGACGGCACAACAGAGTTCCAAGATGGCCTCAGAGAGCCCCATGACGGCCCAAGATGGCCCCAAGACAACTTCCGAAGCATTCCAAATCGTGAACCATTCGTTCAGGGAGACCGCTGTTGGAGGCAGGGTGGCCCAAAGAAGCCCCCAGGGGGCCCCAGAAGACGCCCAGGAGGCCTCCAGAAGGCTTTAAGAAAGCCTGCGAAATTTCGTGAGGCCCTCACAGGCTCTCCAAGGAGGAGCCTCCGCAAAAAGAGTTGAAGAGAATGGAGAGAATACGCACGGTAGGGAGAGAATGAGGAAAAAATAGCATGGAGGAAGGAAACCGAATAACATGATTATGACGGCGATGCCGGAAAAGGCAACAAGGAGTTGTCGCTAAATTGTCGGTTTGACCTTCTTGCCATTCCGCCAGCATACCAAACTTCAATGATCAAGGTGCATCGCGCGAAGCGCCAGTACAGTCTTGTATACACTTATGTATATGTGTGTCTCGTCTTATCTCTTTTTCTCTCTCTCTCTCTCGCTCTCTCTTTATTTCTCTCTTTCTATGTTTCACTCTCTGTATATATTTCCTCTCTCTCTCTCTCGCTCGCTCTCTCTATCTCTCTTGCCAATTACCATCCTGGACATCACATAAGCATTGATTATTTGGCGATCATGCGAGCTCATATCGGAGGTTGGGGGGTGAGATCGAAGTGGAACGGAGAGCCCCCCACCGGGAAATCGATGTCGGTTTCGTGTTCGTGTCGTGCGTGCGGGCGAGGCGAAGCTGCGTGCGCGGGCGAGAGGAATTCATTATGCTGTCGCTAGTGGTTCGCCAATATAAATGTTTCCCCCGCCGGCGCGTGTCAAGCGGTGGCCCGCATTGTCCCGTCGGTTGCCCGCCGTTGTCCTGTCTGTCGCTAGTGGTTCGCCAACATAAATGTTTCCCCCGCCGGCGCGTGTCAAGCGGTGGCCCGCATTGTCCCGTCGGTTGCCCGCCGTTGTCCTGTCTGTCGCTAGTGGTTCGCCAACATAAATGTTTCCCCCGCCGGCGCGTGTCAAGCGGTGGCCCGCATTGTCCCGTCGGTTGCCCGCCGTTGTCCTGTCTGTCGCTAGTGGTTCGCCAACATAAATGTTTCCCCCGCCGGCGCGTGTCAAGCGGTGGCCCGCATTGTCCCGTCGGTTGCCCGCCGTTGTCCTGTCTGTCGCTAGTGGTTCGCCAACATAAATGTTTCCCCCGCCGGCGCGTGTCAAGTGGTATCCCGCATTGTCCCGTCGGTCGCCCGCCGTTGTCCTGTCTGTCGCTAGTGGTTCGCCAATATAAATGTTTCCCCCGCCGGCGCGTGTCAAGCGGTAGCCCGCATTGTCCCGTCGGTCGCCCGCCGCTGTCTTGTCGTGAGATCGATAGTGAGATCGATCGTGAAATTGATAGTGACACCGAAAGTGAGATCGATAGTGAGACCGAATGTGAGACCGAATGTTGGATCGATAGTGAGATCGATATTGAGATCGATCGTGAAATTGATAGTGGCACCGAAAGTGAGATCGATTGTGAGATCGAATGTGAGATCGATAGTGGGATCGATAGTGAGATCGGTTGTGAGATCGATTGTGAGATCGATAGTTAGATCGATCGTGAGATCGATAGTGAGACCGATTATGAGATCGATTGAAAGATCGAGCCCGCATTGTCCCGTCGGTGGCCCGTCGGCATCCTGTCGTGAGATCGATAGTGAGATCGATCGTGAGATCGATAGTTAGATCGATAGTGACATCGAAAGTGAGCCCCCAAGCGAAAGAACAAAAAAAATCCGCCACGTCATCCACACCATCATCGGCCATCAGCACCACATTCACAACAGTTGTCGTCATGAGCCACCCCCCTCCCACTACCCCCCCACAACCTCCTTATCACCCGCAGGGTGGTCGTATAGGTATGCTGCATGGCAATAAACTGTTTTACGTAGCCAGACCGTGCCATGTTACGGAGAAATCATAGCAGTGATATGGTTACGATGCTAAGAGCGTGTAGTGGCGGAGCCCAGTCGCGTCACCAGTATGTTATGTCAATGTGGCGCCGAAACCTCAGGAAGTGTCGCGCACTCCCACGTACTTGATTGGGTCAGGAGCGCGGCAAAGCCGTCTCGCCCTCCTCCTCCTCCTCCTCCTCCTCCTCATCATCGTCATCATCATCATCATCATCATCATCATCATCATCATCATCATCATCATCATAATCAAAAGATTGATCCATGCCGTCCCCTCCTCCGTTAACCTCATATGCGTCGTCTCTCTCCTGTCCCCCTTTCTTGTCCTCCTCGGCTCCACCTCTAGAGGCACACGGAGGGCTCCAGATCCATCTAAAAAAGAACCATGTTAGCCAGCGTGGACCCAAAACATTGAGTTCATCCATTGTGGATGTGTAAGCATGGTGCAAGCTATGTGGTGTAAGTTTTGCACGTGGTACACTATTCGTGGTGCAAGCTGGAGGCGGCCACGAAGCGACAACGAGGCGGCAACGAGACGGCGACGAGGCGGCAACGGGCGGCAACAGGCGGCAACGCGGAAAATCACCGCCGGACTTAGCCAATTCTTTAGGGAGACAAGTAAGAGCCCTGAAATGCAAGCATCGCTTGGGAAACATATTTCAAACAAAATCAGGAAACTCTCCGATCCTTGATGCTTGAAGCTCTATATCCTCGTGCCCCTCTTCCTCCTCCTCCTTCTCCTCCTCCTCCTCCTCCTCCTCCTCCTCCTCCTCCTCCTCAACCTTCAAAAACAGACCTCCAGACCTGTCCTGCGTCGCGTCGCGGCCGAAATGTCGAGAGGGAGTCCTGCCGTGGCGACGAGAAGCCTCCCGGAAGCCCAGAAAAACGAGAAGCGTCCGAAAATCACCCTCGACATCATGGGGCCTCCCTCGATTCCCACCCCCGACTCCCGACGCCGTGTTTTTTTTCACCGTGGACCCAATGAGGTCTGGACCACTTCCCCGGGACTGGCTTGTTCATCGCATCACACTGCACCGCATGCTGCGCGAAATCTGTCGAAACGGTCACGCGGCGCCTTGACGCCTCTTCGCAAGCATGCTGACGCCTTCTATTACATGCGAAGACCCGGGTTGCTCAGCAGGAGTCGCTGTTTGACGATCCCCTTGGGCTTTGCAAGGGCATCTGGATCCCGAAAATGGCAAGAACTTGTCCATCGTTATTTCTCGAGGAAAAAGGCTTCCAGGCTCGACCGCCGGACCTCTCCAGGTGCGCTCTCACCAGATTTCCTGGGCGGAACCAGCCATGGCGACAGTTGGGCCTCGCGGAGGCCCCAACAGAACGATTTCGCAATATTTCTGATTCACGAAAGTAAGCGAAGTGAAACTCTCAGCTCCCCCTCCTCGCTTCTCTGCGCGCGCGTGCGTCGAGCAGCGAGCCCGTCGCCTTTGGATAGTCGTCGGGCGGGGGTAATTACGACGAGGATAAACTTGTTCCAGAGCGTTCCAGAACGCTCTCAGAGCGCTCCTGGACGCTCTCAGAAGGCCGCGGCGCCCGAGACATGCTCCAGAGCCGCCCGATCTCAGAGATTCTCGATTTTTCCTCACCCTATGTTATCCTCGTCCTGGCTTCGTCTCAGGTCCATGGGGGGGCCGCTTGCGCCGCCCTTTCACACCCCTTTTTCACTTCTAGCTGTAGCGACGGTGCGCCTCTCGTCCCAGCTGTCTGCCGCTCTGGCCCCGCGCTGGCGGTTGGGTGCGGCCCCGGGAGACTCGTTGCGTGGCCAATGCCCCCAAAAAAGTTTCGACCATACGTATCAGTTGGGCCTGGCAGGCGGGAAAAGGGCCTTACTTTGTTGGCAGAGTGTTCCCCTAAGCATATCCGTGCCTTGTGGCGACGTGATGTGTCATCGATTGTCATCCCGGACACGCTACCACCGGTCCGCTATCATACATCAGGGGGAGGAAAGAAACAATTAGCCTGGCGAAGGGCCCAACTATATGCAGTTGTGAACACCGCAAGTGTGAATACCATCTTCGCCCGCGTTCACTATGTGGCCACGGCTTCCCGCCGGAACCCGACATGCTCAGGAACACGTTCGTGGCCGTCTTCGCGGGCGCCGACGACGACGAAGACGGCGCCCCCCTGACCGAAGAGCAGAAGCAGGAAAGGGCTCTGAGAGCCATGAGGGAGACTGCCATTGGCGCCTTCGGTGGAGCTCCTATGGGGCCACGATCCTCGGGACGGGTGTGCCGAAATGGCCCAAGGCCGCCATGCGAACCCTGCCACTGGGGGCCTTCGGTGAAGCTCCCTATGGGGCCACGATCCTCCAGAGGGGTGTGCCGGAATGGCCCGAGGCCGCCATGCGAACCCTGTTACTGGCGCCTTCGGTGGAGCTGCTTATGCGGTAGCGATCCTCGTGAGGGGTGTGCCGACATAGCCCGAGGCCGCCGCGCGAACCCTGCCACTGGGGGCCTTCGGTGGTCCCTATGGGGCCGCGACCTCGTGAGGGGTTTGCCGAAATGGCCCGAGGCCGCCACGCGGAACCCTGCCACTGGGGCCTTCGGTGGAGCTCACGATCCTTGTGAGGGGTGCGCCGAAATGGCCGGAGGCCGCCATGAGAACCCTGCCACTGGCGCCTTCGGTGGAGCTCCCTACGTGGCCACGATCCTCGTGAGGGGTGCGCCGAAATGGCCCGAGGACGCCATGCGAACCCTGCCGTTGGGGGGTTTCGGTGGAGCCCCCTGTGGGGCCACGATCCTCCAGAGGGGTGTGCCGACATGGCCCGAGGCCGCCGCGCGAACCCTGCCACTGGGGGCCTTCGGTGGAGCTGTTTATGGGGCCACGATCCTCGTGCGGGGTGTACCGAAATGGCCCGAGGCCGCCATGCGAACCCTGCCACTGGCGCCTTCGGTGAAGCTCCCTATGGGGCCACGATCCTCGCGAGGGGTGCGCCGAAATGGCCCGAGGCCGCCACGCGGTACCCTGCCATTGGGGCCTTCGGTGGAGCTCACGATCCTTGTGAAGGGGTGCGCCGAAATGGCCGGAGGCCGCCAGGAGAATCTTGCCACTAGCGCTTTCGGTGAAGCTCCCTGTGGGGCCACGATCCTCGTGAGGGGTGTGCCGAAATGGCCCGAGGCCGCCATGCGAACCTTGTCACTGGCGCCTTCGGTGAAGCTCCCTATGGGGCCACGATCCTCGCGAAGGGTGCGCCGAAATTGCCCGAGGCCGCCTTGCGAACCCTGCCGTTGGGGCCTTCGGTGGAGGTCCCTATGGGGCCACGATCCTCGTGGAGGGTGTGCCGAAATGGCCCGAGGCCGCCATGCGAACCCTGCCGCTGGGAGCCTTCAGTGGAGATCCTCATGGGGCCGACATGGCCCGCGGCCGCCATGCGAACCCTGCCACTGGGGCCTCCGGTGGAGCTCCTATGGGGCCACGAAGCGTTGCACTGGGCGGGTGAAACGCAGGGAGGAGGGGAGACAGCGGGAGGAGTAGGAAGGAAGGAGGACGCGGGCGCTGTCTTTTCAAAACGAGGACCCAACACCACAGGACGGTCGGGAATTAGCCTGGCGAAGGACCCAACCACACGCAGTTGTGAATGCCGCAATTGTGAACACCATCTTCGCCCGCGCTCCCCATGCGGCCACGGCTTCCCGCTGGAGCCCGACATGCTCAGTGACACGTTTGTGGCCGTCTTCGCGGGCGCCGACGACGACGAGGACGGCGTTCCCCTGACCGACGAGCAGAAGCAGGAAAGAGTTCTGAGAGCCATGAGGGAGACTGCCACTGGCGCCTTCGATGGGGCCCCTTTATGGGGCCAAGATCCTCGTGAGGGGTGTGCCGACATGGCCCGGGGCCGCCATGCGAACCGTGCCACTGGCGCCTTCGGTGAAGCTCCCTATGGGGCCACGATCCTCGTGAGGGGTGCGCCGACATGGCCCGAGGCCGCCATGCGAACCCGGCCACTGGTGCCTTCGGCGGGGTTCCCTACGGGGCCACGACCTTTTGAGGGGTGTGCCGAAATGGCCCGAGGCCGCCGCGCGAACCCTGCGACTGGGGCCTTCGGCGGAGCTCCCTACGGAGCCACGATCCTCGTGAGGGGTGTGCCGAAATGACTCGTGGCCGCCATGCGAACCCTGCCCAGGGCCGCCATGCGAACCTGCCACTGGCGCCTTCGGTGGAGCTTATGGGGCCACGATCCTCGTGAGGGGCGTGCCGAAATTGCCCAGGGCCGCCATGCGAACCCTGCCGCTGGCGCCTTCGCTGAAGCTCCTGACGGGGCCACGATCCTCGTGAGGGGTGTGCCGAAACGAGTCGTGGCCGCCATGCGAACCCTGCCCAGGGCCGCCATGCGAACCCTGCCACTGGCGCCTTCGGTGGAGCTTATTATGGGGCCACGATTTTCGTGAGGAGCGTGCCGAAATTGCCCGAGGCCGCCATGCGAACCCTGCCGATGGCGCCTTCGCTGAAGCTCCTGACGGGGCCAGGATCCTCTTGAGAGGTGTGCCAACGTGGCCCGAGGCTGCCATTCGAACCCTGCCACTGGCGCCTTCGGAGGAGTTCCCTATGGGGCCACCATCCTTGTGATGGGTGTGCCGACATGGCCCGAGGCCGCCGTGCGAACCCTGCCACTGGGGCCTTTGGTGGAGCTCCCTATGCGGCCACGATCCTCGTGAGGGCTGTGCCGAACTGGCCGGAGGCCGCCATTAGAACCCTGCCACTGGCGCCTTCGGTGGAGCTCCTACGGGGCCACGATCCTCGCGAGGGGTGCGCCGAAATGGCCCGAGGCCGCCATGCGACGCTGCCACTGGGGCCTTCGGTATAGCTCCCTATGGGGCCACGATCCTCGTGAGGGGCGTGCCGACATGGCCCGAGGCCACCATGCGAACCCTGCCACTGGCGCCTTCGGTGGAGCTCCTATGGGGCAACGAAGCGTTGTATTGGGTGGGTGAAACGCAGGGAGGGAAGAGGAGGGAGGAGGAGGCAGCGGGAGGAGAAGGAAGGAAAGAGGACGCGGGCGTTTTTTTTTTTTTTTTTTCAAAACGAGGACCCAACACCACAGGATGGTTGGGAAAAACGAGAAAAAAACTACCATACGTAAGAGTGGCCCTTCGCCGGAGAGACATTCGGTGCTTGCCCACAGGGGTGCCCCGATCGCCGAGCGCGGTGCGATGGTAGCGTCTTGCGCGCTTGTGTCTGGTCCCCCCGCGGCCCCCAAAAAGCAGCGCACCAATGGCCATTTTTACCCAGGGTCACTCCTGCGTGTAGCCGAAGGAGTGGGAACTAACGTTCGACGTGGGTCCCCGGCCGCACCCCCGAGACGGCACCATCCGGATCGAGATGACTGCGAACGAAGAGGAGCAGTGCGGCTGGGACCACAAGCCCGGGGTGTACCGCCGCCCTCCTCCTGCGCGCCGGCCTGGGGGCGCCCTGGGGCTCCCTGGGTTTTCATTGCTCCCCCTGGAGCCTCCAAGTGCAAAGCACTCGTAGAGATCGTGAGCCTGACCTCTAGCACCGCTTCAAGATCCACATGGTCTGAAAGCGCTCTGGTCGTTTCGCGGCCGCTTCCTCCTCCCGTGTTCCTCCTCATTTGTTTTCGCTGTATAGTTAGCTACGGACGCGTCCCACCGTTGACCCGACCGCTTGTTGGACCCAACTCGCCGAACAACAGATATCCCGGCAAAGGACTCAACACCATTTGCGGGTGCGAGTGCCGCAAGGCAGGTGGGGCAAAGGAGGGGCAGGTCCTTATCGGCCACGGAACTTGTGACGGGTGTGCCGACATCGGTGCGGGGTTCCCATGCGGACCTTGCCGCTGTGGCCTTCGGTGGAGCTCGAGCTGTGTGCTGAAATCGGTGCGGGGCTGCCATGCGGACCCTACCGCTGGAAGCTTCGGTGGAGCTCCCTGTGTGGGGCCACGAAACATGTGAGGTGTGTGCTGAAATCGGTGCGGGGCCGCCATGCGGACCCTACCTCTGGAGACTTCGGTGGAGCTCCATGTGTGGGGCCACGAAACGTGTGAGGCGTGTGCCGAAATACGCATACAGAGGGAAGAGGTAGGAATGGGGGATGGGAGGAGGAGAGGAGGGCGCGGGGCACTGTCTCTTCAAAACGAGGACCCAGCACTACAGGACGGCCGGGCAGTGCGCAGAGCACCCGAAGGACCCCCACGTGGGATCCTAACGTTGCCCTGCCTGCTACATCGCAGCGGCTGCGGGGCTCTGACAAGGGCCACGGCCGCCGCCCCCAAGCGGACACTGGACCCGACAGGTCCCAACAACCTGGAGACGAACCGGCCCGCGTCAAGCCCCCATGGCAAGTTCCCCATTGGAGGCCTAAACCCAGAACCCCCTCGGCGTGCGAAAAAGTCACGACGGGACTTTTTCCCTATTGTCGGCCTCCGGGAGCCCTTCCCGTGGCCTCGGGACTGTCAAAAAACGATGTTGGATAAAAAAACAGTCCCCGGGAAGGGGTTCTGACCTCTGGGGGTCGACATGCCACGCCTGTTACACCGCAGTGATCATGGGGCTCTTCAAGGAGACACGCCCACCGCCCGAAACGGGCATTCTGCCTGCGAGCTCCCGCCAATCCAGGAGCGAACGGGACCGTGTCATGTCCCTTGGTGGCTCCCACTTGGAAGACCGAAGTGCCATGCCCGCCTGCTGCATCGGGGTGACCATGGGGCTCTTGAAGAAGACACGTCCACCGCCCCAAGCGGGCGTTCTACCTGAGAGATCGAGTAGGGGATCGACTACATAATTGATTTACCCCAACGTTGACTTGCTCGTCGAATCGACAAAAAATACGTCGAATATTCCGTGCATCTCTCGCCGATTCATTGAGCGAATTAATGTTGGGGTAAATCAATTCTGTAGTCGATCCTGTACTCGAAGAGAGGTCCTACCAATTCGGGCGCGAACGCGACCGTGTCATACCCTTGGTGGCTCCCCCATTGGAAGACCGAAGTGCCATGTCTGCCTGCTACCTCGCGATGATCATGGGGCTTTTAGGATTGAGTCGGGCGTGTCCCTCTACAGGAGGAATATTCAAGAATAGACCAAAAATGATCTGGGGACGATTTTTGAGTATTTCTGATCATGTCTTGAATATTGTTTGAGTTTTTTCGATTTGGCGTCCAACATCCATCTGTAGTGGGACATGCCCGACCTAATTTTAGGAGACACGCCCACCGCCACAAATGGGCGTTCTACCTAACAGGTCCCAACCATCTGGGCGGGAGCGGGACCGTGTCATACCCCTTGATGGGTCCCATGGGAAGGCCGATGTGCCATGCTTGCTTCGTCTGCACGAGGGTGGTACCTCGACACAGAAATAAAGCGGCGTGCTCCGAGCACGCCATGCTCGGCCGCACCGAGGGGAGGCGAGAGGGGAGAGATAGTTGAAGGGACAAAAATGTGCAACAAGCGTTGAGGAGCCACTTCGCAGGACCCCCCTCCGCACCCTGGCCTCGGTATTGAACAAGCGTTCTTGGAGAAGCGGGGCCAGAAAAAATCTTGAGGCCGGGGGGTGGAGGGGGGAATTTGGTTCTTTCTGCTTCGGGCGCTGTTGTTGCAGAGCTGTTGCCTTCAGTCGGAGGGTGCGGGAGGGGAGGACCAGCGCGCCGCTGCAGTCCAGAGCCAATGAAGTACCCGTAAGTGGTGCGACCACGGCTTACTGCGTTAGGCGCATCATATTAAAAGTCAGCTTGTCAGCAGGTGTCCAATGGAAACGTCGTGTCTTCCAAAGGCACCCCGGGAGGCACGGAAGTCTCGAGGCACCTCAGGGAGGTTGAAGATGCACGACGGATCTATCCCCTAGACGTATTAGGACAAGCTTTGATTCCAGCAATAAATGTGTGGCTTCGTAGTCTACATCGTTCTCTCTATATCTCTCCCGATAAGCGTACGTATGTATGTATGTATGTATGTATGTATGTATGTATGTATGTATGTATGTATGTATGTGTGTATGGATGGATGTATGTATGTATGTATGTGCGCTTTTTCACAACTTTTTGCGTAGGTGTAACGTGAGAGGCCGCAATGGGGATGTCTCCATCGCCATCGGGGCTCAAAGTGCTGACGGATGCAGACTCTCGTCCATTTCTTCTTCGGAGAGTCGCTGCGATCAGCGGGCATCGCGGCGAATGTGTGGGCGGCTCGAACCGAGTGCCCCGCCTGCGTGTGCAGGCCTGCGCTGAGCTGCGGCGCCGGCGCGCCGATCGTGGCGGCCGAGCCGCCGACCTGGCTGGAGACCGTGCTGAGCCACGCCGCCCTGGTGCTGGTCTTCTTGGCGGGAGCGGTTTGCGGCGCGGTAGGCCACTGCTTGGCTAGCCGCCGAGGCTGCGCGCGTCACGGAGAGGCCGCCCGCGTGGAGCCTCTGAGCTTGGAGGACGAAACTCGCGAGCAGGCGGCTGCCGCGAAGGCCAGGCGGAGCGCCTCCAGCCTTTGAGGATGGCTCATCCCCTGCGCGCTCGGGGTCGTGCCGGGCGACTTCGTTATGATCCGCTACGCGGTCGGCGGCCGGCGCGTGTGGCACGAGAGGCTCGTGCTGGCGCTGGCCTCTTCGGCCCCGTGGGGCGTCGGGATCCTCACTCCCGATGGCGACGCCTCTTCGGAGGTGCTGATCGGAGCCGCCGACGTCGCGGCGGTCGTGGTGTGCGCCGGCGGGGCGGCTGGAGGCGCTGCAGTAGGCATCGGATGCGACGGGGATTATCGCTTCCACGCGGTGCCACTCGCGGCGGCCATCGCCATAGCCCAGCAGGCGGTGGAGGCGGAGCTCGGACTGCCAGCCGGCGCGGCGGTGGTGCCGAACGTCGGTGGGCGCGTGATCCCGGCGGGCGTGGCCGCGGTTGCTGTGGGGGCCGCCCCGGCGGCTGGCGGCGGCGCGGCGGCTGGGGTTGGTGGTTTGGCGGCGGCTCTCGATGGTCATGGAGCTGGCGGAGGCGCGCTGCGGGCGCCAGCAGCCGGTGGAGGCGTGGCAGCGGGGGTCGGCGGCCTGGCGGCGGCGGAGTCGGCGGTGGCCGCGCGGCGGCCCCTGGAGCCATTGGTGGGGGCCGCAGCCGGCGGCGCGCTCGTGGCCGCGCCCGCAGCGGCAGCCGTTCCTGGTGCTGTGCCTCTTCTCGGCGGTGGAGCGCCGGGCGCGCCTGGGGCTTGGGCGGCAGCGCCCGCGGCTGCGGCCCCCTTGGAGCCTGCAGCGGCTGCTGGGGCAGCGCCCGGCGTGGCCGCGGTGGGCGCGGCGGCGGCTGCTCCTGGAGGCGACCTGAGGATCATGGCGGTGACCTGCGGTTGCTCGTGGAGGCCCCGTTCATCGACTGGCCGATCGGCGGCCCGAGGGCGCTGTTGTGGGTGGCGTTCTTCATCCATCGCGTGGCCGGGTCTCCGATGGCTAGGCATTTGAACTGGCGCACCGACGGCCAGCTTCGCGATGACGAGCCAGGGGTCGGGAGCCACGAGTTCATGAGCAGGTTGCTGGAGGTCGGCTTGTGCTACGACCAGCTGCACAGCTCCAATCTGGCGACGATGGAGCTCGTAGCGCAGGCCATCCAGACGAAGAACGAAAGGTATCGGCACCGTTTCGAATGCCAGACGGACTTCGGCGCGAGCGAGAATCTGATGACGGGCCTCTCGCACGGTCGCGGCCACGTGTGCGTGGCGCCGCTTCTTCGGGATTTCGCATCGCAGCAGCTGCAGAAGGATGCGGCCATAGCGAAGGAGCGGCGCAAGGCTCGGGAGGAACGCGCTCTCGCAGCTGGTGGTGTCGATGCTGGGCCTGAGAGGCCTCGGAAGCCAACCGCCAAGAAGAAGGGCGGCGGGCGCGGCGCGACCGCCGCGGAGTCATTGCGCCATCGCTGTGGAGCGGCCTGGGGGACCGGCAGGCCGTTCGTACAGATGATCACACCGGCTCGGCGGACTTGCACCGCCGTGGAGGCGAGCGCCAGCGCGACATCTCCCCGTGGCCGCTGGCGGGGTCAGTACCTCCTCGATATGATACTGGCGGGCGCCGCTCGCAGAGACGTCAGGCTGTTCATACTCATCATCGAGCTCTGCTAAACGAGGCCATTGCATCCCTGAATTTACTCTACGGTTGTCGCAACGAGGTTGGCCTTCCCGTCAACGAGTGCCAGCGTGCTGCCATTGATCACATGAATGCCGCTCTTCATCGGCTGGGACGTCTTCCAGAGAAGTATGGGGAGACGCGCGCTGGCCAGGGCGGGGCCCTCGGCGCGCTCCTCCACGGCGTGTCGGTCTACGGCGACCACGCGCCCAACCCGTCAGCGCCCTGCAACCGAGAGCAGATCTCGTGGCCTGCTCTAGCTGGGCGCCCGGTGGACGTTGTCTCCCTCGTGGGCAGCTTGGAGGGGGGGCGTTTAAGGCACTGGCGGAGCCATATGCTTAGACCTCAGGAGGAAGCCGCTGAGCTGATGTCGGCCGCTTGCCCCCGTGGTGCTTACTGCGATCGGAAGCTCCCTGGCGACCCGCGCGTTTACGCTGGGTTCCTGGGCGAGCTCCACGCCCGTGGGATGGTTTCGTCCTCGGAGGCGGTGGGCGCCAAGAGTTATGTGGGCTTGTCTTTCGCCCCGAAGAAGAATGGGGGTCAGCGCATCACATTTGACGCGCGTATCGCAACTTGTTTCTCTCAGCCGCCGCCAAAGACCAGCTGCCGACAGCCTCTGCGTGGAGCTCGCCGGAGGCGCCTCCGCCAGGCGCCTACATCGCCACCGCCGACTTGGAGTGCGCGTTCTACCACATGCGACCCCCGACAGGCACGGAGGACTACTTCACGCTGCCTGCCATCGATGCGACAATCTTGATGGAGGCAGGCCTCGCGGAGTTGCCGTTCGCAGTTATCCAGCTAGTCACCGCCACGGTGGCGGCGTTGCCGATGGGCTTCTCGCGGGCCCTGCACACGCGCCAGGAAGCGTCGGCCACCTGCTTGTTGCGCAGCGGGGCGGGCCCACCCAACGTCATCGTGGACGGCCAGGTCGGCATCCAGCTGGACAGTGACCGACCCGTAGCCGTTGGGGCCTACGTCGCAAACGTGCACGCCCGAGGCGGCCAACCGCCTGCTCTACAAGCTGGTCAGTCATCTCAGGCTCGCGGGGCTGGTAGTTCACGAGATCTGCGAGGCGTCCGCCAATGTCGAGTTTCTCGGGCTGCAGCAGCACGAGGGGGCTTCGCTGACCATCAAGGCCCGAAGCGTCTGGAGGCAGAGGGCGGCGATCAGCAGCCTGCTGCGGAAGCGCTGGACATCAGGCCATGCTCTGCGGGCTGTTTTGGGCCACATCACGTGGGCCACCATGATCCGCAGGGAGGCGCTCACCACCCTGCATGCGTGCTACGCCTTCGTGGAGACCTTCGGCGGCCGCCCTGGGCGGCTGTGGACTTCGGCGATGCGCGAGCTCGGTCTGGCCCGCAACTTGTCGCCTGTGCTCCAGGCGGACATCACCGCTGGATGGCGCGGCGCTGCCGCGCGCAGCGATGCAGCGCCCTGCGGGCTCGGCGTCATGCGGCGGCGGCTGGCACCGGGCGACGCGGCAGAGTGCGGCAGCTTCTCAGAGCGCTGGCGTTTCAGGGCGGCAGGTGCCGCCTCCGCTCGCGAGAGGTCGCTTGCGGCGGGAGCGGCGATCGAGAGGAGCAGCGCGAAAAAACAAGTTGGGTTCATCTCACAGTGGTCGTTCCCATGCTCACGTTCTCTCACTCAGTCGTGCTGCCGGCGGCGGCGATGGTTTGCAGTCAGTTGCTTCGGCCAGTCAGGTCCTTCAAGCTCCTGGGGTCCCCTTGGGCCCCGCTGGAGTTGTTTCGGACGGCGTCTGGGGCGACTACGCGCTCCCGCATGTGGGCCCCTGCATGCGCTTCGAGGTCTCAGAGTCGACAGGCAACCCCGCGGATGTCTTGGAGTCTGAGGGCGTCCTGGGCGACTCCAGGGCGAGCTTCAACGAGGTACCAGCTACTGTCACATGCAGCGAAGGGTGGAGGCCCACAGCGGCCGTTAAGGCCTCGGGTCACGCTAACATCTTGTATTCGGAGGGAGAGGCCCTATGCTTGGCCAACCGTCATCTGTTGCGCGATTCGAGCTGCGCTGGTCGTCGGGTCCTTATTACGATAGACAACCTGCCCTTAGTTCTTGGAGTGGTCAAGGGAACAGCTCAGAGCATTAATATTCGTCGTTGTCTTGGCCGTGCATGTGCACTATCGATCGCATCGGGCTCCAAGCTCCACGCGCGGTGGGTCGCCTCGGAGCGGAACCCGTCCGACGCCGTCAGCCGCGGGCGTCCTGGCTGCTTCAGCGGCGCACGGGAGCTGGAGGGCCCCCGCCCGAGACGTGCTGCTGACCGTTTGCGTGGCAGGCATGCTGGCCTGCCAGGGCGCCGACGCAGCGCGCGGCTCGCGGGCGCCGAGCACTCGGCAGACGCTGCCCAGCGGCAGGGGCTGGCGCGCCAGGCAGTGGCGGAGCGGCCGCTAATGGGAGGCCTCGCCCTGCTCGAGACGCTGGCCGTGCGCTCGAACACCGAGCGGAGCTATCGTTCGTCGAGTGGCGCGGCCTCCATCAGCTGACTTGGAGCAGTTTCGAGGAGCTCGACGTGATTATGGCGCAGTACTTCTCGGGCCACTACGAGATGGGCGCGGCCTGCAGCATCGGCCCCCAGACGCTGGCAGCGATAGCGCACGTGACGCCATCGATGTTCAGAAGGACGGCATCGCCCCCCCCTCCGGGCCTCGAGGGCCTCAGCTGCATGGAGGCGGAGGGCGCCAGGGAAGACGCGGCTGCCATTGCCGCGCGCTGCCACTTACGCGATAGCAGGCTGGCGGATCAGCAACGGGCACCTTGGCATGGCCGCGTGGATCGCGATAGCCTTCGCGGCCTACTTGAGGCCCGCGGAGGCCCAGAGCCTCGCCGGGAAGAGCCTGGTGCCGCCGACGCCTGCTGCCGGCACGAGCTACTCGAGCTGGGGGCTGCTCCTCCACCCCGCGGAGAGGGGCGTCGCCGGCAACGCGGGCCAGCACGACGACGGAGTCAGCTTGCGCTTTGGCCCATCTTGGCGGCGATGCGGGAGGGGGCCGTCACTCTGGACGCGATCACGGCCGCGTTCAAGGCAGCTTGCCGCGCGCTGAGCCTCAGCGCCCTCCGCCCTCACCTGCATTACTTGCGGCGCGGAGGGGCGCCGGGCGACTTGGCGACAGGTCGCCCGACGGCTGCCGAGGTGCAGCGCCGCGGGCGCTGGGCCGCGCCGTCGTCGATGAGGCGCTACGGCAGGGAGAGCGCCCTGCTGGGCGGGATCGCGCGGGCGACCTCGGAGGCGTTCGCCTTCGGGGCGCTGGTCGAAGCCCATTTCGCGCAGCTCCTGGAGCTCGGTGTCGAGCGAGCGGCAGTCCTGCACCTGGTGCCCGCAACGGTGATGCGCGTGCTGGTGCCGACGCCGGCCAAGGGGGGGCGCGTTCGCCGCCGGCCAGCAGCGCGGCGGTAGCCGCTTATTCGTTCGCTGGTGCAGCTCGGGCGCCCGAGGGGCAGCTGCGCGGGCGGCACCTGCGGCGGCGGCTGAAGGCTGCGCTCGCCGGTCAGCGCGCGCGGCGCGCGGTGCTCGAGCTGTTCGCCGGCTCGGCGCGGCTGACCGAAGCAATCAAGCGGCGCGGCCCCCCCAGGCCGGCGCTCGACCTTCGCCGCGGAGCGGCAGAGGGCCACCTCTTGAGCGCGTTCGGCTCGACGCTCAGAGGCCGGTTGGCCGCCCGCGCGGCGGGCGCGGCGTGGCTCGGAACATCGCGCACGATATGGAGCCAGGCGCTGCGAGGCCCACTGAGGTCGAGAGCCCCACCGATGGGCAAGAGTGATATGCTGCCGCATGGGCGCGCCAAGCTCAGGATCGGCAATCGGTCTTTCCATTTCAGCTGTGACATCATTGAGCTATGTCTGTATTTACACATTCCAGTCTATCTCGAGAACCAGTCGGGGTCTTTGTTGTGGCACGCTCGTCGCATGCGGTCTCTGCTCCAACATGCTTCGCGTCAGGTCAGCGTGTTCGATAGTTGTCAATGCGGTGCTCCGTGGCGCAAACGTACTCGTGTAGCTAGTTGGGGGGTCTGTGAATCATGCAAGTAGTTGCAAGATGTGCACTGGCCGTCGAGGGATATGCTCGCAGAGCCAGCGCCCTCACATCATCCTCAGCGGCCACGAGGGCGGTGCCCAACGCACCGCTCTGGCCGCGGCCTCTCCAGCCAAGTTCTGCGCACGCATGTCAGAAGTTATCGAACATGCAATGCTTGCTCCCGTTCATGCCTATCGCCGTAGCATTGTTCTATCGCGCTTGCCTGTGCCCAGTGTGTTCTTAGGCTTCGGTAATTAATGTAAGAGGGTCTGCTCAGTGTGTTATGTTATCAGCGACCTGTCGGCCAATCCTGTCCCTGTTTGGGGTTTTGGGAGATCTCAGTGTGTTCTGTGCCTGTTGCCGCGGCGCCCTCTGGCTGTTACCTTTGCCTGGCTCCCGCCCACGCATAGCGTCGAGAAAGATCGGTTGTGCTTCAATCCGTTGGGCTGCGCCCTCTCCGCAGCACCGCTCCTTCCGGTCGTCTCGGCGTGCTCTGGGTGGCCCTCGGATGTGGAGACGGGCCGTGCGTTTTTATAACATTTTGCGTAGGTGCAACGTGAGGGGGCCGCAATGGGGGCGTCTCCATCGCCATCGGGGCTCAAAGTGCCCCCACCCGCTGGCAGCCATGTGTTTCGTGATGCTCTCTAAACTTTAAATATGCCCTTTGAATTTCTCCGATGCTCGGGGAGATTTCAGCGTGTTCTGTGCCTGTCGCCGCGGCGCCTTCTGGCTGTTGACTCCGCGTGGCTCCCGTCCACGCATAGCGTCAAGAAAGATCGGTTGTGCCTTAATCCGTTGGGCTGCGCCCTCTCCGCAGCCCCACTCCTTCCGGTCGTCTCGACGTGCTCTGGATAGCCCTCGGAAGTGGAGACGGGCCCTCTCTCTCTCTCTCTCTCTCTCTCTCTCTCTCGCTCTCTCTCTCTCTCTCTCTCTCTCTCTCTCTCTCTCCCTCTCTCTTTCTTTTTTTCTCTCTCTCTCTCTCTCTCTCTCTCTGTATATATATGTATGAATATGGATGTGCTCACCACTTTAAGCCGAGCGGTGTCACAGCTGGCCGCGCGCGCACGCTCGTTCCGTAAATCTCAAGGCTCAAGCAGGCCCCGCCTATGCAGCACATCAAATCTGCAGTTCCCGAGCTTGCCCGAGGGCTCTCCAACAGTCTTCTCCTCTGGGCTCAGGCTCCGCCACCATGCCCTTCCTGCGCGCCCGCGTTGCACTGCGATTGTCCACCGGTGGAGCCGACCCAGCTGAAGGAGGTCTTCCACGAGAACCCGAGCGCGACTGAGCAGACAGGCCTTATCCTCGGCACGTTCGTTTCCGGCCTGCTGTTCGGTTTCCAGTTTGCGCGTGGCCTGCATTCGCCTCGGTGCAGTCTCCGGGCTCAGGTCTTTCCACCGGCTCCGACATGGGCGGCTGGTCGCGTTCAGGCTTCAAGTGCTTCTCCAGAGGAGGACATTGCTGAGCTCGCTCGTCGTCAGCAGTCCGAGGTTCGGCAGCGCCAGGTTCCAGCCCTTCAACAGTAGCCATGGCGGCAGCAGCCGCTGCGGGACATCTTCTCGGGCTTCGCGAGGGACAACATTTTGCTATGCGATACAATGTGGGCGGGCGGGAGCTTTGGCATCTACGCGTGCGCTGTGGCTGCTCACCCAACTACCCGGTCGGGGTGGCGGTCATAGCCCCCGATCTGGACGAGCACGAGGAGGATCTGATGGCAGGCGCGAACGTCTTGGACTTGGTCGGGCTCGACGGCCCGAACGCTGTGGCCCCGCGCGCCGTGGTTGGCGCCGCCTACTACCGCTTCCGGGCGCCGCTGACGGTGGCGCAACTGACCGCCGCGCGCAGCGCAGGCCACCGGCGCCTGGGCACGCCTGCCCCACCTGGCCTCGTTCATCCGTTTCTGGCAGGCCTTCCCGCCCATGCGGGAGGTCCGCCCGCCGCGGGGGGCGACGGGGCTGCTGGCGCTCCTGGTGCGGCTCCTGTCGGAGCGGGCGTCGCTGCTGCCCCTGGCGGGGCTGCGGGCGCTCCTGGGGCGGCCGCTTGCGGGGCTGGCGGGGCCCCGGGTCCGGACGCGGGGGCCTTGATCGCGGGGGCTATGCCAGCAGCCGCCCTTCCCGCCGCTTTGCTGCCTGCCGCGGGCGGCGGAGCCGCCGCGGGCGGGCCCGCGCCAGCTCCTGGAGGGGGGCTGGCGTGGCTGGCGGCCGCTCTCGGACCCGCGCCCGCTGCGGGCACTGGCGGGGCCGCTGGCGGAGGAGCCGCTCCTGCCGCCAGGGCGGGTGGCATGGGGGCGGGGGCGCTGCGCCTGCTGGCGCGGCTCCTCTTCCGGCGCCCGCCGCCGCAGGAATGCCTCTGCCGCCTGCTGGTGGTCATGACGCTCGCACTAGCCCTGTCATGTATGACGCCACTGGCCGGCGCTTTCGGGAATTCCGGGAAGCTGTCTCTCTTTTCGCGGAAGATCCGTGGCCCGACTGGCCGATCAGAGGGCCGCGGACGACATTGTGGGTCTGCTGGTTTGTGCTCTCGAATGGATGTGCTCCGCTGGGCCGGCACAACAGGTGGCGCGCGGATTGCCGCCTGCAGCCTGGAGATCCAGGCGTCGAGTCGCACGAGGGCGGATGTAGATTGCTAAAGATTCTTGCCTATGATCAAGCGAATGCCCCTAACCTCGCGGCTGCGGAGATAGCCGCTCGCGAAGTGCAGGTTGCTGAGGAACGCCATCGGGACATGGTGGCCAGTGGCAGCGACGACAGGCTCGATGCCAATCTCGCGCGTGGGACTGATCTGGTCTGAGGGAATCTCTGTGTCATGCCAGCTCTCACCGAGTGGATTGCCGCCGAATTAGCCAAATAATCCGCCGTGATGAAGGAGCGTAAGGAACGCACTCTCGCGCGCCCCAAGAAGGCCCGTAAGGGCCAGCAGGAGCAGTGGCGATGCTTCCCTCGCCAGCCCCTGCCTCGGCTGGCGCCCCTGCACGAGCCGAAATTAGCTGCGCGGAGGCAGGTTTGCAGTGCCCGGGACGGTGCCGAGATATTTGTCTTTTCCCTTTGCCCAGCTGTCGCAGTCCTGCTCGGTCTGTAGGCTCGAAGCTCTCTCGTGGCACAGCTCGCAGGCTGGCTCGCAGCTCGCGCGCGCTGAATTGGGCCGCTGACGGGACCTCCAGCCTCAACCAACTTTTTGGCGTCTGCACCCCCTCTGCTGAAGTGCGGAACGCTGGTCAGGCGGCGGCCCTGCGCCACATCGAGTCGGCTCACCTCAGTGCGCCGCCGCCCCCCGACGACCCCGATTTTCGCAAGGGTGCCCTCGACGCGCTCGTTGCTGGGTCAGGCCTCTACTCTGAGGAATCCTTTGCCCAACGGCCGCATGTCAAGAGCGAGGCCCCTTGGCCTGCACGTGGTAACTTGCCAGCAAGTCTGTCTGAGTGCCTCGCGCAGGCCGGCTCGAAGCGGCTCGGTCGCTGGCGCGATCATATGCTAAGACCGCAGGCTGATGCTGATTCTTTGCGTTCGGAATTGTGCCCGAACGGTCCCTACACTGACCCAGTTTTGAAGCACAACCTTCTTGCTCACGGCGACTTCGTCGCTGAGCTTAGGCAGCGAGGGATGGTGAAGCATCGCAGGGCCGCCAATCGTAAAGCTACTGTCGGAATCTGTTTCGTCGCCAAGAAGTCTGGCGACATCAGACTCATCTTGGATATTAGAGCAGCGAAAACAATGTTCATTGATCCGCCCCGCACTCGGCTTCCCACTCCCGGGGCCTTCTCGGGTTTAGAGAATGCGGGGCGGGGCGCGTCCCTTGCAGCTGGTGGTACCGAGTGTGGTTCTTATAGACTTGCCATAACATAGGGACTCGACGAAATGTTTAGGTTCTAGCGATCGCAGCTAGGCATCTAGGTATCGTCGACATCGATGGGGCCCCTGTCTCGCCGAACGAGATGATATCTCCGTGTGTATGTGCACTCCCCATGGGCTGGTCCTGGGCTCTTCATATCTGTCAAGGTGTGTTGCAGCATGCTCTGAAGCTAGAGGGGTACGACTCGTCTCGCATCGTCGAGGATGGCCTGCCTGCGGTCTCGCTCTCCGCGCGCTCGGACACTGCCTGCGCAGTATACGTGGGCGAATTCATGGTGATGGGCTCCGACCGTAAAGCTGTTCAGTCGAGCCTAGACGGGGCATGCCGTCGGCTGTTATCCCTCGGCTTGACAGTGCACGAGTTGAGCGCAGCGAGTCGTGACATATCTTTCGTGGGGTTGAATTTTAGCGAAGGCTCCAAGATCTCCATTAAGCCCTCCAACATGTGGCGCCTCAGGTTCGGGATCGAATCGCTGCTCCGTCGGGGGGTCTGCAGTGGCTCCGCGCTCCAGATTGTGATGGGTCATGTGCCCTGGGCTTCGCTGCAGCGTCGTGAGGTGCTCTCGGTGCTCTGTGCATCGTACCAGTTCATGCAGTCAGCCAGCAGCCAGCCCCAGAAGCTTTGGCCGCGGGTGGCAAGAGTTCTGGATTTTCCGCTCCATCCTGCCCCTCCTCTTCACAAAGATCGATATCCCTTGGCACAACGTCATCGCAGCATCAGACGCCTCCCTCTTCGGCATCTCTGTTTGCACGAGTGTTGCGTCGCTGGAGCGCTCTGGCGAGGTAGGCAGATCTGCGGAGCGCTGGAGGCACCAGGTGGCAGGCGCAGAGCGTGCCAGAAAACATGCGCTGGAGCATCATGACGTTCATCATAGTCCAGTCGGTGGTGCTCATGGCCCTGGGGCTCCTGATAGTTGCCCGGCGGACTCGTGTGGGGCCCCTCAAATGCGCAACAACAACGGCGAGGGGGTCGGCGTCGACGACGACACCGAGGGGCTCCAGAAGTTTATCGAGGTCTCCGGGGCCCTGTTCGAGGAAGTGCCTAACGACGTGCTGAAGGGCACCTGGATCACCGTGCTGGCCTCGAAGGTCCTCGTGAGTGCCAACATCCTGGAGCTCGAGGGTGAGGCCCTGATGGTGGCCGCCGAGCACATCCTGAGGACGTCGGAGGCCTTCAATCGTCGGGCGGTCATGCTGGTTGACAACCTCCCACTGGCACTGGCGGCCTGCAAGGGCCGCGGGGCCCCCCATCACCTACTTCGGCCCCTTCGGAAACGAGCATGTCTATCACTGGTTTCGGGCACGAGATTCACATACGGTGGATCCCGTCGGAGAAGAGCCCAGCCGACATACCTTCCAGGGGCAAGCTCGGTTGGTCTGTTGGACCTCATCTTCCTCCTCGGCCTGGACACGCGGCTCTGGGCTCCAATCCTGCAGGCTCCGGGACGCCAGCGCCCTCCTCTGTCGCGGGCGACGTCGCCCCCCTCGGCCACCGCGAGCCAGGCATCGGCCATGGCGCCCAAGGCAAGGACGCTGCAGCGGGCGAAGCCATGCTCGAAGGCCGGTGTTCTGAAGGCCCAGAGAGCTGCGTCGGCTTCGCGCCTGATTGGGCGCCGCGCTCCGGCGGGCGGCCTCGGCCCCTTTGGACAGCCTGGCCGCGGCGCCGGGGGCGGAGGGCCTCTACGCGGGCGCCGCGACGAGCATCGTCCAGCACTGTCAGGGCTCCGGCGCGGCATGGAGCAGCACCAGCGATCTGGATCACCTGCTGGTCGGCTTCTTCACGCGCAGTTCCTGGAGGGTGCGAGCGTCGAGGACGGGCCCAAGCAAGCACATGGCGAACCTGTCGCACTTCTTCCCGGAGCTGTACAAGATGACGACCAAGAAGCTGCCTCGGGCCAGCCGCTGTCTTGTGGCCTTGCGGAGGCGGGCCCCGCCTCGCATGGGGCTGCCACTCCCCCGAGCGGCTGCCATGGCATTGGCTGGGTGCCTCCGCCATCTGGGTTTCCCGCGTATGCGCCCGTGGATCGCGATCGCATTCGTCTGCTATCTGAGGCCGCACGAGGCATTCCTGCTGCTCGGCAGGCACTTGGTCGCTCCCAAGACGGCGGCCGGCCAGCAGCGCAGCTCGCGGGGCCTGCAGCAGGCTCCGCGAGCTGCGCGGCCTGCAGTAGGCCGCCTGCTGCTCCACGACGCGGCGCTGGGCGACCCAGGCAAGACGGCGATGTTCGACGCGGCGGCGCTGTTGGACCGACGCGGCTGGCCGTTGCCGTGCCTCGAGGCGCTCAAGGCCCAGTCGTTCGCGGACGGCAGCCTGTGGGACCTCGCGCCCGCCGAGCTCCAGAAGCAGTTCGCGCTGCTGGTGAAAATCCTGGGGCTCGAGTCCTCGTCACCGCGCCTGCACCCCATGCGCCGCGGCGGCGCCAGCGACGACCTCGTCGCGGGCGCGCGAACGCAGGGCGAGGTGAAGGTCAGGGGCAGGTGGGCGACCATCACGAGCCTCAAGAGGTGCGGCAAGACGGCGCGCCTCCTCCTCGAGATGCTTAAAGGCGCCCGAGGATGTGTTCGGGCTCGGCAGGGCTGTCGATGCGAACTTCTCCGACGTGATTTCCGAGGGCTTCTCGAGCCCGAGGTCGCTGGCGCGGCTGCCGCGACGGCGCTGGGCCCGGGCATCGGCGTGACACGCGCGCTTCCGGTGAATTTCTAGAGCACGAGGTTCGCCGGCATCTTCAGCGTGCCTTCCGCGCGCGTGGCACCCCACGCCCCAGGTTCATGAAACATCTTGTCTTATTGGAGCTTTTCGCCAGCAGTGGCAGAATTCCAGGTGAGATCACTTGGCTCGGCTATCGCGCTCTCTCTTCGGACATCTTCAACCATGCTCGCGAGGATCACCTTGACCCTACCTTTCAGCGGGTGATCATCGGATGGTTAACTTCAGGTTGCATCGTAGGTCTCTGGCTCGGCACACCCCGCGCGTCCTGGACACGTGCGTTGCGCCGCCCTTTTCGTAGCAGTGACCAGCCGTTCGGCGTCCCGGATCTGCTTGCATCCGAGCGCGAGCGGCGGAGGATCGGTAATGCCACGTTCCTGTTCAGCGTTGTGCTCATCAAGATCTGCATTGCTTCCACATCCTGGTGTCTCTCGAAAACCCACGTACGTCAGTCATGTGTTGGACTCCGCAGATGAGACAACACATGAGTAGCCCAGTCTTGTTCGATGCCTGTTGCGACTTTTTCCAGTACCATGTCCCCTGGGATAGGCAACTAGAATAGCTGTTTGGCACGGCGGCAGTCCGTCGTCGTCCTGCATGCGCTGCCCCGGCAAGCGTGGAGTCTGTAGCCTCACCAAGAAGCGTCACATCGAGCTCACCAGAAATGCCCCTGGTGGGCGCAAGTGGACGAGCATAGCCACTCCGCATCCTATCCCGTTTGCCGCCGCTGCCGCACGTTGCATGGTCCAGGCAGCTGAGAATTTGAAGACTCATAGGCTGAAAAGTCTTTCGGTGGGCTTGTAATGCGGCCATGTCTGGCCAAACTTCCTGTGCGGGTTCGGGTGCGTGCGCCCAGCTCGCTCTCATGCGTTTGCACTCTGTCCTGTATCCTACTGCAGTCTGAAACTCGTCAGCAGCGGCCCCGATGTGGTGCCTTCGCGCTCGCCTCACAATAAAAAGCACCATCTGGTCAGTGTAGAGAGCGCCCGGGCTGGATGCGTTCGCCACCTTAAGCCGAGTAGTGTCACAGCTGGCCGCGCGTGCACGCACGTTCCGTAATTCTCAAGGCTCCCACCCGCCCTTTTTAAATTTCCCGCTTTCGATGGGTGTGTGCGTCCAGCTCGCTCTCATACGTTAGCACTCTGTCCTGTATCCTACTGCAGTGTGAAACTCGTCAGCAGCGGCCCCGATGTGGTGCCTTCGCGCTCGCTTCACGATAAAACACCATCATCTGGTCAGTGTAGAGAGCGCCCGGGCTATATATATATATATATATATATATATATATATATATGCTCACCCCTTCCTATGATTTTGTTTTGCCGTCCAAGACAGAAAACATCTCACATGTCACAGTCTCCCCAGCGGCTCAGTAGAGCTCTTGCAACATGTCACATGTGCGAGCCCACAGGTCCGCCCTTCTGTTCCAGTACGTCCACTGCGCAGACCGCACTCGGCGCCGCATCGCGATCGTATCCGCTTTCTGCTTCTTAAACCCTCTACATCAGGACTCCTATTGAACCACCTCACAGAAGGATTATTCTTGACATTTCCACAGAAGGATTCCTTTCGAAACCCTCCAAAGCAAGATTCACACTCAAATCCCCAAGAGAAGGATTCTTGTTGAAATCCTCCACGGAAGGACTTACGTTGAGATTCTTTTTGCGCCAGGATTCTTATTCAAGTCCTCGACAGAAGGGTTATTGTTGCAATCCTCCACAGAAGGTTTCGTATTGAAATCCTCTGCAGAAGGATTCCTTTGCAAATCCTCCACAGCAGGATTCCTAGCGAAAGGCCCCACAGAAGGATGTCTATTGAAATCCTCAAAAGAAGGGATCCTATTGAACCCCTCTACAAAAGGTTTCCTATCACAACACTCCACAGCAGGATTCCTACTGACATCCTTGACAGAAGGATTCCTATCAAAATCCGCCACAGGGAGGATTTCTCTTAAAATCCTCAACAGAAGGGTTCCTATTTAATTCCTCCACAGACGGATTCCTATTGAAGTTATCCAAAGAAGTATTCCTATTGAAATTCTCAGCAGAAGGATTCCGATTGAAACTGTCGTCAACCAGGCGTCCTATGGAATTGTTGGGGATTTCAAGAAGAAGATTGCATTGGATGATTTCAGAGGATTCCTATTGAAACCTTCCACAATAAGGATTCCTATTGAAATCCTCCACGGAAAGATTCCGATTGAATTCCTTCACAGAAAGATTTTTTTGGAGTCCTCCACTGAAGGATTCTTATGGGTAGTCTGTACAGAAGGATCCCTTTTGCAGCCCACCACAATAGGATTCCCATTGTTTCCCTTCACAAGAAGGAGAACGAGGCGAATTAGGAAGAGGAGGAAGATGAAACTGATGAGGAGGAGAAGAAGGGAGAAAGAGGAGGAGGAGGAGGAAGAGGAAGAGGGGGAGGAGATGAGAGGAGGAGTGAGTAGGAGGGAGGAGGACGAGAGACGAGGAGGAGAGAGACGAGGAGGAGGGTTCAGGAGAAGAGGAGCAGGATGACTCGTTGAAACATTCACCAAGGCAGTTTCTTGTGCAAGGTTTCGGTTTGAAGGGCTTGAACAAACGGCCAAAACCGCCCAGGCCTGCGTCGGGCTTGGCGCCCCTCCCGAAGCAGGCCCGATGCATGCCTGGGTGGCTTGGGCGTTCGTTAACAAGCAAGTCAGAGGACGCGTCGAAAACATGGAACGAACACGGATTTCAATCGAATTCTTTATGTGGAGCCCGGAGGAACTCGTGAACGACAGCGTAAACGATTTCAAAGGATTCAGTCGGTCTCTTTCTTTGGTGGATTTCAATGGGAACCCTTCTGTTGAGGATTTCAGTAGGAATCCTTCCGTTGAGGATTTCTATAGGAGTCCTTCTGTGGAGGTTTCCGATAGGAATCCTTCTGTTGATGATTTCAATCGGAATCGTTCCTGTTGAGGATTTCAGTAGGAACCGATGCGTGGAGGAGTTCAATAGAAATCATGTAGGAACCCTTCTGTTGAGGATTTCAATGGGAATCCTGATGTAAAGGATTTCAAGAGGAATCCTGCTGTGGATGTTCCGAATAGGAATCCTTATGTGGAGGAATTCAATAGGAATCCTTCTGTCGGGGACTTCAAAAGGAATCCTTCTGTGGAGGCGTTCAATTGGAATCCTTATGTAACAGATTTCAATCGGAATCCTTCCGTACAGGTTTTCAATCGGAATCTTTCTGTGGAAGGTTTCAATAGGAATTATTATGTAGAGGATTGCTCTTATGGAGAGCTTTACGCTCCGAGCGTTACACTCTTCAGTATGAGCCTTACGCCCTGGGTGCATTCTGAGCCTTACGCCCTTATGGAGAGCTTTACGCTCCGAGTGTAACACTCTTCACTGTGAGCCTTACGCCCTGGGTGCTTTCTGAGCCTGACGCCCCACTGGGAAGCATTACGCTCTTCGTCCTCCTCCTCCTTCCATCCCTTGCGGAAACAAAAAAAAACATAGAAAATCAAAGCAACCACTTATATATACATATATATATATATATATATGAAAACAAAGCATGATACATATATATATATATACACATATGTATAGATATATTAAAACAAAAAGCAAAACAAAAAACTGATCTGGGCGTCGGCACCCCGCCGACTCCCATATTTGTTCAGCCCCCCCGCCGACGCCCAGATCCTTTGGTGTTATGGTTGTCCTTGTGTTGTTGTTGGTTTTGTGTTATGTTGTGTTATGGCTTCTTTTGCTGTCCTTGCTTTGGGTTTTTTTGTTTCCGACCCCCCCCCCTCCTCCCCCTGTGCTCCCCTCCATCCATTCGGGCTTCCTTCCACCCACGATTCACCCACAGTGCGGAAAGGTAGATCATGGGAGCCACGATTCACCCACAGCGCCGAAAGGTAGATCATGGGAGGGGGGGAATATACATATATATATATATACATACAAACATACTTACATACATACATACAAACATACAGACAGACAGACAGACAGACAGACAGACAGACATATATATATATATATATATCCATATACACACAAGACTGCATTGGCGCTTCGCGCCGTGCACCTCGGTCGTGAAGTTTGGCATGCAGGCGGAATGGCAGGAAGGTCGAGCCGACAATTTAGCGATCAATTCTTGTTGCCTTGTCTGGCATCGCCGCTACAAGAATGTGATTCGTCATATTTCCTTCAGGTTTATTTTTTCATTATCGCAATATCCTGGGCGACTATTCTCCCCATCCTCCTCAGCTCTTTCTGCGGAGGTTCATCCTTGAAGAGCCTCTGAGGGCTTCACAAAAGGTTTTCAGGCTTTCTTAAGGCCTTCTGGAAGCCTCTTGGGCGTCTTCTGGGGGCCTCTGGGGACTTCAACGGGCCACCCTGCCTCCAACCGCGGTTTCCCTGAACGACCGGATCACGATTTGGAATGCTTCAGAGGGTGTTTGGGGGCCATTTGGGGCCGTCATGGGGCTCTCTTAGACCATCTTGGAACCTTGTTGTGCTGTCTTGGGGCTCTCTTGGACTGCCTGGAAGCCCTTTGGGGCGATCGTCAAGCGGCTCCGGACGCTCAGAATATCGCCGTCTTGGAGCGTCGGGAAGCCGAAGAGAGGAGAACCCCAAAATTCATCAAAAACCGATAGAAAATCAATGATTTTTGCCTCTTGGGGTCTTCTTGGGAGTGCTCTCGGAGGCCTCGTGGGACGTTTGGGAGCGATCTTTGGGGGTATGACGGCTTCTTAGGGGTCATCGTGGACCGTCTTGAGGCTCTCTGGGGTCGTTTCGGGAGAGCGCCGGAACGCTTGGAGCCCTCTGGAGCCGTCTTCGGGCTCACGTGGGGTTCTCTCACTCAGATCGTCGGGAGGGTTGCCCGAGAGGCCCGGGGTTGGCCAAATTCGTTAGACGCGGGGGAAGGGGGGGAGGGAGGGGGGCTTTTTCCGGTGTCCCCGGTTTATAAAAATATATGAATAGGAATATATCACTATGGCAACCCTTCCGCATGCGCGTGGTCCTTTGCATTTGTCGTAGCGTGATTTCTCCCGCAAGAGCCAACAAAAATGGGAGGCTCAGTGAAGAGGAGGAGGGCGAAGAGGAGGAGGAGGGGAAGGATGGCGATGTTGACGTGGAAAGGGAGGGGAGGGTTGGAAGGGAATCGGGAGGGGGCCTGCTATGGGAGGAGGAACGATTAAGAAGAAACTGAGTTTGGAAGAGGAGGGGAAGGAGGCCACGGCAGGATGGCTTTGGAAAGGCCAGATGGCTTGTTGTTGACGGTGCACGAAGGAGTCGCCACGAAGGCCAAATCTTCAGATTAGGAGGAGGAGGAATAATAATAATAAGAAGAAGAAGAAGAGGAGGAGGGGGCGCAGAAGGAGGGGGACGAGGAGGAGGAGGAGGAGGAGGAGGAGGAGGAGGAGGGGGAGTGTAGGTAGAGTTTGGAGGGGGACCCGGAGCTCTAGGGTGGTCAAGCCGCGCACCAGAAGTGCTGGAGATTGCTGCTAGGGGTTGGCCATCTCTGCCGCGATTCCTCTCGTCTGTTCTCAGCCCCCCCCCAATCACTCCATCCCTCTCCCTCCCTCCGTCTTTCTCGCATAAGGACGAATGACAAAGATGTTCCTCTCGCGCTTCCGTCATCCTCTTCTCCCTCCCCCCGCATCCCACTCGCGCTCCACCCGCCCTTCCTCCCCTGTCTATATGTTTCCCGTGCTCCATGCCTGCCTCAATCCATTCGTCCAATCCCCTCGGCCCGCCTGCCCCATCCCCCGACGCCGCTGACCCCTGGTGGTGCAGTTGCGTTGGCCCACCACCACCAGGGCGCGAAAGGCTCCTCTTTCCGATGAGCTGCGCCGCCTCTTTCTCTTGCCTGGCCCCTTTCTAACCTCCCCGCGGCTGCCAGTCCCCCCCCCCTCCGGCGCGCAGTCTGGCTCTGGGTGCGTCGGCGGCCCCGAGAAGGCCCCCGTGGGAAAGGGGGGAGGAGGAGGAAAAGGAGGGAAGAGGAGGAGGAAGAGGAGGAGGTGGACGAGAAGGAAGTTGAGGGAGCATAATCGCAGCGAGGGAGGGGCGGAGACATGCTGGTAGAAGTGAGGCCAGATGTGACGCCGGGCTTCGGTGGTCTTTTCGGGGCTTCGCCCCAGGATCTGAAGGTGCTCGACGTGAAGAGACGTCGGCCGTTCGAGAAAGGGCTTCGCCTTACTGTAAGGGGTCGAGAGGTGTGTACGGTGGGGGCGTTCGCCTGGAGGATCCATTGTCTGATGAGGGCGGCGGTGATATCCGTAGCTACTCCGACCGATATCCAGTTCCACCCGCTTCCAGGCCCTAGATTCCTTATCCAAGAATTCCTGATCCAATACCCTCACCGTAGTTCCTCGCTGATTCGTGAGCTCACTGACCCACAGTTGTGCCATCGATCGCAGTCGTGTTTGCTGTGTGTAGCTTCTCGCTGATTCGTGGGCTCCTTGCTGTGCCATTATGTTTCGTGTGCAGGGCCTCACCTTCGAGATATCGAAACGTTGACACATCTTCCCTGGCGGAAGGCTGACGGAAGGAAGGCGGCGGAAGAAAATAAACACCCCCCAAAGAGATAATGTGTTTGAATTGGTTCGGGGCTTTGGAATCGGCCATGTGTCCATCTCTTTTGCGTTGCATGTCGTTTGGGTGACTCTCTGGTTGACCCCTTTTTCTTGGGTGTCGTGGTGGCACGTCTGGTTCATCGCGATGGTCATGGGGCTCTGACGCGAGACGCGTCGGGCCCCACCCTTCCCGCAAAGGCCAGTTTGCCTGAGAGGTCTACTTGGGCGCCACTATACACTGGCATGCCTAGCAGCCACCACCCACGGAGGGAAAAGGGACACCGCCGAGAGGGCCGACGACGCAAGAATGACCTTTTCTGGCAGAAACCTCACAGACGCAAATATCGACACCATGGACCGTCACTATTCAGCAAGACCGACCCACATACTCCACGACAGGAAGGCAGCATAGGTCAGACCCAGGGAAGACGCTTTAACCGACGACGCGGTCCGACGAGCGCCCAACGCTGCCCTGCCAGAGCAGAGAGCCAACGAGATGGCCGAGAAGCACTTGATCTACCTTGTGCCTCCACAGACAGGTCCACGAGGCGCGGAGATGTCCGACGTTGACCAGATCCACAAGGTCGCGACAACGCAGGTGCAGAAACGAGCAGGCCTACAAGATGCAGAAAGAAAAAGGCCATCCACTCGAAGGCATACCACCATTCCTTCCTGCCCCACGCCACCCTCCAAAACAGCAGCGCGCAGAAACCAAGCGAAGCCATGCCCCACCCACCTCTGCCTGGCCGGCACCTTGGCAACCATGGGGGCAGAGGCCTTTGCACCCACGAATCGACAACATGGTTTTCGAGAAGAACAACATCCACGTGACTCCACAGACGCGACCTGGTCTCCGCGCTGCAGAGAGGGACCCCGACAGAGACCTTGCGCCGTTAATAGAAGCTACCGACGAGGAGATGATGATCCTCAGGAACTGCAGCGACGATCAAAGAGCCCCCATCAACCACTTCGACGAGTAGAACGAGAGGTACGAGCTACACCTGGGGCCGCCACCTAACGGTAACACACAATGGCTGTCGATCCCTTTGGCGCATTTCCACCCGCCAGCAGACGTCACGCACGAGGACAACATTGACTGTCAATTCTTTCTTAAAAATATGCTCACCGCATTCGAGGCCACTTCCGTCACGCGACCGCCTCGACCAGACCCACCACCATGGAAGCCACCAGCATCCATCTCGGCACGCGGCATCGCCAGGGCCACGATCGCGGCCATCAATGACTTCATGTCCCACCTCACCCCCGACATACGAGCAGAAGCTAGGAAGCAGCTGGCCAGCATGGAGGCCTCTTGCTACGACAACTTCGAGGAAGAGTACCACGCGGAGCTCGAGATGGAAGGCGTCGCAACGCGCAGACCGACGAGCAACGCCATACCGCGCGCGATCAACACGCAGGTGCCCAATCAAGACCGACAGAAACAACAAAAACATAGCACCTCCCAGCCGAAGCCGACAAATCGAGCGATGGCGGTCAGCCAGACGCACACTGCACCCAATCGAGCCAACCCTCCACCACCGGCATGCCCACCGCCACCATTCGATCCACTAGACCACGTGACATCGGACGAGCACGCGCTAGCACAAGCCCTGCAAAGAGAGAGACTCCCCAACAGGCGACCTACTTCACCAAACCACCAACTGCCTCTACCGCGCCCTCGGGTCGCCTACAAGTGCCAAGGCGAGCAGGACATATGCAACGCCCAGGTGTATTCTTTCAACATGGACACGAAGGAAACAACAAGGGCCCTCCCAGGCAACGCACTACTGACCACAGGATGGAAACGATCTCCATCATCCAAGACCGACGAGTGTTCTTACGACGGCGAAGGATATTACATGGAGCACCCAACCATCGCGACGCGGGACCACGCTCAACCTCCGCCACCGCCAGCATCCCCACCTCCACAGAGGCCGAGATAGAGATCGCTATCGCCACAGGCGCGCTCCTACTACGTAGACAGATCGGCCCGCGAAACTACAACCCAGAGGTGCCATAGTAAAAACGACTTCGGGGACGACGTGGACAACTTAAAGAACCTGCTCAGTTTCCTCGACGACAACCGCGCGGTGGAGATTGCAGCCCGAACGACACCCTGACCACGGAGGAGGCCGCACAAGGGTTTCATTGGCGAGACCAGGCCACATTGCCACAGCGCGGGCCAACGCACCGTCCAAACGACCACCTGATAAAGACGGCGAGCTACCCAAAGCGACAGCCACTTCGGCATGACCAGCAAGGGGGATCTACTAGCAGCGACGCGACGCCTCCCCCAATGCGGCAGGATCCATGAACACCCACGCCGATAGCAACACCGACACCGCATCAACAGACTGTCCCCAATAAGAGAGCCACGATAGACAGCGCCTCCTGCGTCATCCCAACTGCGCTCGCACCAGTTGCACAACGCAGACCACCAGACCAACACACAACGGACAGACCAAGCGAGCAACGCACCCCCTTCCAAGAGCAAGAGGTGCCATCAAAGCCACCACCAACGACTCCACCGAAAAGCATGGGAGCGGCAGCGGCTAGCACCACAGTCAGCACCTCGACGACAGCCCCGACCACGCAACCGGCGGAGTAACAGCCAGCGCCAACATCATCCACGTTTTGGCCACAGCGTTCGAGTTGCCCCCCTCCCCCCTCACCAACAGGACGCACGCCACCAGAGATGAGATCTGAGAGTGACCAAAGCGATCGCCATCAGGACCTGATCGAGCGCAAGACCAACAGCACGAGCACGACCCCACATGGCCGCTCAGGACCCACGAGATCATGTCTTACTCTTTGGGCTCAATGCGAAAAATCGCTACGACATGACATCGGGGAAGACCCTTATACACGTCTCGGGTATGACTATGTCATGTACTACGTAGTAGAGGCATCCCTGAACTACGGCTTCCCGTACAACGCAGAGCGACAGGCGCGACGTGCTCACGTGACCGAGCGCCAGACCCACCTCGCCCAGTTCGCCAACCACCAGCTAGCAGTGATGCTGACCAACAAGATCGACGACGACTCAGACGAGGCACCGTCACCACACGCTATGACTACACAGCGGCAGAACATGTTCATGTCAATCAAGCTGACCATCTGTCGCAGCCCGACCTCCATGCCAACGCCATTCCCTTTTAACGCGCTCCCAGAGCATAGACGCGACAGCAACCATGCAGAATATTACCGAGCTGATCAATGCACGGGACCCACGACCCAGAGACCAAGCGAATGACGGCAACAGAGAGCTACCAGAAGCAACCCAGCCACAAGAGCAATACAATCTTGCCAATCCCAACTCCGATTCGGCAACCTCGAGATGCGCAGCAACCGACTGACCCACCTCAACAGGCGCAACCGACACAGACAGACGACACGCAACCAAATCCAGGAGCTCAGGAGCTCCCAATCCACAACAGGTGGGCACCCTTGGCAGAACTCGCAGCGCTGCAGCAACACCCTCGCAGACAACAAGCAACGACCGACCCAGTAGCCGAGACCAGCAGGCTTCGGAGCACCGACCCACCGACAGCGGTACCGCGGGCCATGACAGACTCCGGCAGCCAGACCAAGCCGGCAGAGAGCCTCACGGGAGAGACCGACTTGGGCCAGGTCATATCCATAACCAATCACCAGCAGCTTAACCCCGACTCGATGCAAACCAGACCGACAATCGACCAGCACGACAGCAACCAGGCCCACGAACGCACAGTTGATTGTCCAATTCTGCTCCGCGACAGACAGGATACATTGCACCAGCTGCTACATTCCGACTCCCTACCTCTGCATTATTCTTTGACCAGAACGCACGCACTCACCGACCGGATCGGCAGCAGCATAGCAGACGCACCATCGCCAGACTCGCCCTCCGACGGCAGCAGAAAAGTTGCTCCCACGGGTCTCAGCACGAAGCGACGACGCCAACAACAGCCATGCTACAATATGGGCCCCTGAGGAGCATTCTCACCCACAACAGGTGAGCTAACTCATCCGACGCGTCAGCAGAGGTAAAGTCCCAGCATACGTCGACAACGCCAACAGAAGCTATGCTACCTCGCGGGCCCCTGCGGGGCATTCCCACCCACAAGCTACGCTACTTCACCCGACGACCATGATGAAATAAGGTCTCCAGTAACCACCAACCCCCCAACCTCCTGGTTTCCAAGTCGCTGACCTCATTACGTCCCCCGTCTTGTGGCGGCGGGACGGCGCGGGATTATCGGTGTAGGGGCAAGCAAAGAAACCCGCCACAGGCCCAAAGAGCCTGGTAAGGCCGTGGTCGGCGTAACCGCAAACCCACCACACGCCCACTGCACGCACGCTCCGGCAGTTTGCCCCTCACCCAATCTCTACCATACTACCATTATTCTTATTTGGTCCGACAGCCATGCAGCAATCGCAACAGCAGTTGCGACCAACAGCCGCCTGCCAGAGCTAATGGAGGGTGGGGGGATGCATGTCGGCGGGGACACGCCACCTAAGCCGTGCCACCGCCACGGAGGGCAGAAACCTCCTCCACGCGCGGTGCAAATTCCCCGAGCGGCCCCCACCTCCACGATCTGGGTACCCTACTCCTGCGTGGAAGGGGAGGGTAAAACCCCCCTCCCCCCCCCTCACCTAACGTAGCCAGGACCTCGGTGACACCGAGCCTGGCCCGCGCAGGATACGTGTGACATCTGTATTTTTTTGGCGACTCGATTGTTTCGGAATGATGTCCCTGCTTGCGCGTGGCTACCAGTCGTGCGGTTGGGGGGCGCTTCGGGCGACTTCCTCTGCGCATGAGGAGAGGCCCTTCTGCTTTTCCACAGGGCGAGCGTGGCCGGCCGCGCCGCCGCGCTCGCTGCCATTCGGGGGAGGCCCCAAACCTCACCCGCGGTCGGTGGAACCCCCCAAGGCGGTCCCGGGGTCGACGTGTTGGGAACCCTGCGCCTGGTTGCAGGCGAGGGATCCCGCCATCGGCGTCGGGGGCGCCCGTGGGCGATTCCTACAAGCAGAGGGAGAGGTCGTTGGGCCCCCCTTTTTGCTGCAAACGGCACCTCAAAAGGGCCCCGCGGAATAATCTCCGCAGCTGTAAACTCCCATTTCAACCCTTGCATTTTTCACTGGGCGCCGCCGTGCTCACTCCACCGCTACCTCCACTGCCTGTCAGTTTTTGCACCTCCAACCTGTCATTTCCTTTTTGTTGCACCTCCCGCCACTATGGAGCGGCGCGCCGCCAACATGCCGACAGGGCGGCCACGGCACGCAGTGTAGCCGCCAGGGCTACCGAAACCGCTGTCCACAGCCAACAGAGGGCATTTCGACAGAGGGGGACCCTGGGCACCCTCCAGGACGGTGGCCCAACGGGGCCACGCGACCCGAAGGAGGGGGGACCATACGCAGGCCCCAGGGCCTTCACGTAAGTTTTAACCCGCTGAGAAAACTTGCTATGCTCCAGCCACCTCCTTCACCACTTATGTTACGCTACTACGAGCTGATACTATGGATGCATACCCTCCCTCCTTCCTGTCTGTCGGACCTCGCGCCCCTAGTCTTCTACTTGTATCTCTACTCCCCTGGGGCTGGCCCCGACGGCCAGCCCCCGACGGCCAGCCCCAGGGGGGAAGCGGCAGCGTGCGAAGCACCCTCATGCCATCAGGAAACAGGAAACATGAAACAGAAAGAGGAAGAGGAGGAGGAGGGGGACGAGGAGGAGGAGGAGGCGGAGGAGGAGGAGGAGGGAAGAAGGAGGAGGAGGAGGATTGAGTAGGAGGAGGAAGAGGCGGAGAAGGAGGAGGAGGAGAAGGAAGACGAGGAGGACGAGGAGGACGAGGAGGACGAGGAGGACGAGGAGGAGGAGGGGGAGGAGGAGGAGGGGGAGGAGGAGGAGGAGGAGGACGAGGGAGGAGGGAGGAGGAGGATGAAGCATGAGGGAGTAGGACGGAGCAGAAGGAAGAGGCGCAGAGGGGACGAGGGGAAGCAGGAATGAGGAGGCCCCACGAATACCGGACTCAGACCGCCCACCTGTCGCCACTCGGGGCCTGGACCCCCCACCCCGCCCAGGGGGACGTGCGGTGTCTCTCTCTCTCTCTCTCTCTTTTTCTGGGGGGGCAGGCATCGCCAAACCCTGGGCGACGCAGCGCAGCTTCCAGCTCCCCCCCCCAACGCCGCCCCCACTCAGAGCGTGCAACCCAACAGGTTTCTGAGGCTCTTCCCCTTGACGTGGCGTTGGGCGGGCAGGGTGTCGCGAGGGCACGCGGGGCCAGATGTTGTTGCTGCCGCATCTTGATGAGTGTAGATCGCTTGCGCACCGTTGTCATGAACTGACGAGCCCCACAGGCGAAACTAGTCTTAGCGCAGCAGCGGCTTTCAGCATCTTGAGATTGCCACGTCAAAACAAGCGAGGTGTGGGTCTGCGGCTCCTGCGCCATCCTCTACAACTCGGCCATGCCGCTGTTCTGACACCGGTCCCGGCCTGGTCGCGGTGTTCCGCGGGCCTGCAACGTTTGATGCATGCGAGTCTCGTGTTCTCGAGCCTCTCCGCGCGCTCAGCTCCCATCCCTCTCTTGCGAGACGCGTGTTGGGTTACCCCCAGGGGGCACGAAGGCGATCGATTGCGCCTCGCGCGCCGCGGCCTGGGCTGGAGGGGTGCCCCTCTCCAGGGCGGCGTCGCGAGGGCGCGATGGCGTGAAGACGACCGTGCGTCTCGGGGCGCGATGCGCGAAGCGAGGTGGCCTAGGCCATAGGCGTATGGTACGTTCCAGGATGGGACCCGCCTTCGAGGACCGAGGGAGAGCTTACACCTCTTGCCCAGCGAAAGGCGGCGGAAGCAAAAAGAGGGCGGTTCCACCAGCAGAAGGCTGGCGGAAGGCTGGCGGAAGTGAAGCAAAGGATGTCGGCCACGCGCAGACGGTGATAGTGGGAAGGAAGGGAAGACTTCTTGGAAGCACCCGTGCTTCTTGGAAGGCGCGGGCCTTCTTAATAGATGTAAGGCGGGCGCCTTCTGAGAAGCAGCGTCCTTCTAGGAAGCCTTCCCCCTCTACCCCCTACGCCCCTCCTGCGCGCCGACAAGGATGGCCCCCCAGAGGAGGACGTCAACACGTTGAGGTGCCGGGTCTCCCGAACCCTCCGTGCAGCATATTCAGAATGGGAAAAACATTGACATCATGAAGCGCCGACTCCCAGGAAAAAATATGGGAAAATGTAGGAAGTGAAGGGGGGGAAACCGAAAACCCAGAGTAGACGGGAAAATGTTGGCAGTCTTGGGATTCGTGTTTATTTCCTCGTGTTTCCCTGGGCCCCGGGCCCTGCTTCCTCTCTTCCCGTCGCGCCAGGGTCTTTTCCCCTCCTCAGGCGCATCGCGGCCCAATCTGCATCTAGCGCGCCCAACTGATGCCCGATCGCTAGAGCAGTAACCTCTGCCCAGCCGCCGACGCAAAAAAAAATCCCTTGGGGCCCTTGTTACACCTGTCCTCTCTGCCTCGGCGCGGCGGCGGCGGCGCCAGGGCGGGCGAGAAAGGCCCCGGAAGGCCCCCTTGGGGCGGCTGCTGGGGACCCCCGGCACCGCAGGCCGCTCGAGATCGAGCGGGCCCACGCGCGGTGGCAGCAGTCGGCGGCGAGCGAGGGGTTCGAGGTTCGACGTTTTCGAGAAGCGAACTTCGAGGTTCGAGGTTTTCGGGCGTTTTCGTCGATTCCTGGCGGTTTTCTAGCCTCGGGATGCTTGCCAGCAGCTGCGCCTCGCCGAGGGCGTTCTGGGGGTGCCCAGATCGCCCCGAACGGCCGCCGGATTCCCGAGTTACGATCCAAAAACCAAATTCGGCGGCGCGCCCGGGAGGGAAGGGAGAAGGAGAAGGCCTTCTCAGAAGGCAGCGGGATTTCTCAGAAGCCCTCGCGCCTTCTGAGAAGGTTGTTGTGCCTTCAGGGAAGGCTCAGAAAATTGGTCAGAAGGCCGGGGAACTTCGAGCCTTCTGGGAAGGTCCGTCCTTTTGCACTACCCCCCTTCGTTCGCCGCCGAAACAAGATGAACCTGGCGCGGCCCCGATGGCAAGAAAGTGTCCTATGGCATGGGCACAGTGCTTGGCATTGCTTGGCTTTGCTTGGCGTGAGGCACCGGGGGAACCCGGGGAGCCTGGGGAACCGAGGAACGGTCAAAGTAAGCCCCCGAGGCGCCAATTTTGATTCAGGTAAGAACCCTTAGGCAAGCCTAAGTGGGGACATGAGTCATCGCCCGCGCAGGAGAAACGCAGGGGCTCGGCGTGCCCACACCTCCCCCTGCCTCCGCCCCCCGGCCCGCTCCGTCTGCACCTCGCTCCTCCTCCCCCCTCGTCCGTAGCCATTTTGGCTCAAGTTCGAAACGTGTGTCCCTGACGCTTCGAACTTGGACGCTGCCGAGGGGTGGCCCACGCGTCCATTCTGAGGCCAGGCTCACGCTTCTCCATTATTCCCCTATCATTCCAGTCTCACCTTCACTTGCAGCGACGACCAAGAGGCGTGGAGAGCGTCGCTCCGCCGTGGACTCGCCCGCGAGGTACGACATGAACCCTTCGGCAACAGGGCGTCGTGAGAAGCCGCAGCCCCGTCGTCGCTCGCCCAACTCCTCTTCCCCTGATCGTCGAGATCGAAGTCGCAGCGAGGGGTTCAGTATCCACAGTTCCGATGACCACACTCCCCAGGAGCGAGCTCGTGCGCCCGGTGTCGCGCCCAGCTGGTTGTCAGAGCTCATGAACTCAGTGAAGGACACGAACAACAACATTGCCAAGCTGAATCTGGACATGTCACAGGATATCGATGGGTTACGCACTGCCTCGTACGCCCATGATCAAAACATGCAGTCGGTCCACGCGAGGGCCACCAAGATCGAGCAAAACAACGATGAATTCATACGTGGTGCGGTCGCCAGTGCCATCGACACGAAGTTCGAGGTCATCAACGCCCAGATCGATGTGCTGCGCCGCCAACCTCCTCCTTCACCAGCTGCCAGCAGTGGGTCGAGCCGCTCGACGCCTACGCCCTCGGCAGGTACCAGTACGCAGCCCAAGCCGATTGACGCTTGCAAGAGGTGGATCGGTTCGTGCCCGAGGTCCTTGGCGAGGAGCCAGCGTGAAGCTCACTGGAACTCTATCACAGGCCGTCTGCCATCTTCGTTACGTGAACGCGTTCTGCCGCCAAGAGTTACGCGCTCGCGTTGTCGACCCCAGCCGATGCTCGCAGTCTCTCCGACTCGTTCCGCTCCCTGGACATGGTCTGGGTGGACCCGAGGGACCAGCACCGCCATTAAGTTCGAGTGCGACAGGACTTGCCGCTCGACGTCAGGTCCAAGCAGCGCGCGGTTAGCTCCTTCTGGGCTGGCGCCCTTGAGCTGCCGCGCAAGTCCAACCACCCCCTCGGCGGGTTCAAGCTCGGAGTGAATGGGCGCCAGAGACTCATGCACCTCGTGGGGGCTGTTCCACATCAAGGGCTCCGATGTCGCTGGGTGAACCTTCGAGCCCGTCTTCAGCAGCGCGCGCGCGCGGAGCCTCCAGGACTCCGACGCCCAGGCCTTCGTCGCCCGCGATGCTGGCGCAGCCCGTGTACTTTGACAAGCACTCGATCGAGAACGCCAGGTGCGTCGCGCGGATCTTCTGCCCGCTGAAGGTGAGGCGATGGGAGCATCGCCCAGCCGATGCGGCACCTCCTTCCCTCAGTCTTTTGAGGATGGTCTGTCCGTCCCGCTGCTGCCGCCTGCGGCAGTGCCTTGCAGCAGTAAGTATTAGTATTCCTCCTCCGATGTAAATTCGGATTCTGATTCTAGTAGTAGCGCGTCTATTTCCAGCCCATCTTCCGCTGGGCCCCCAGGAGACTGCACAGCCCCTCCCTGTCATTTCCCCCCTTTCTCCGTTGGTCTGAAAGTGGGCACTTGGAATGCGCACGCCTTGTTCGGGAGTACCTGGGGCGATCGCGACGTCAAAGACCTGCTCATAATTCCTTCATGCATCTCACTACTAAGCGTGATACTATCCTTCTCCAGGAAGCCCATGGGACGGGCGAGGATCTAGCTGAACTACGTCGTCTTTACCCTGGCTAGGCTCTCAAAGGCACCTTGGTTTTCAGGGCCGAGCGGCGGGGGGCGCCGTCGCCATGCCCCCCCCCCCCCCCATCCGCGCATCGTTAAGTGTTTCAATGTCTTTGAATGGCGCGCCATCAGCGCTGGCGGAGTGGGTCGACTAGTCCTCCGTGGCGCGCAGAGCGCGCTAGATGTGCGCAGCCTGCATCTCGACCCTGGCCCCCCCTCGAGCTAGCATGAAGCAGCTGTTGCTCTCTGTCAAGCGTCGCCTTGCCCCTGCCGCCTCTGTCGCTAGCATCATGGGCGGCGGCTTAAACTTCGAGGAGGCGCGCGCGCGCGCGTGTGCGCGCGCGCGCGGGGGGGGAATTACGCATGAGCAGTTCGAGGTTGGGGCGCGGGCCTGCTCATCTCGGGGCACCCCCCCAGCCGATGCCCCCGCAGTTCATCGAGGTGCCCCAGGGCGAGTATACTTACAAGCAAGTCATTGGAGGGGAGATCGTCTCTCTAGGGCGCATGGGCCGCCTTTGTTTTACTACGCCTACCTGTCACCTGTCAGACCCAACACCGACAAATGACGTCTTTTGGAGAATCGCCCAAGAGTCTATTCCGAGCGACCACGCGGCCGTCTCCGTCTCTCTGCGCGCTCGCGCGCCTCCAACCCGCCCGCCCGTCCCCAGGTGGATCGCCGGCGCCAAACTGTTCAAGGAGACGCTCTGCTCACTGCGCGAGGAAGTCGACCCCCCCCCCCCCCTCAGAAGCTCGTCGATATCAAGGAGCTCATCTATGAACCTGCGCGTCGGGTCAGGTTTGCCTCGGGGCCCATCGGCCCCGGCGCCTCCGGGGAAGAGGTTCCCCGGCGCCTGGCCCTCCTCAGGGCCAGCAGGCATCGCGGACCCAAGGAAATCCACCGCGCTCTGCGCGCATGCCCTGTCCTTCGCGAATTCTTCTGCGAGGATGAGTTTAAGCGGCTGGATGTCTCTGGCTTCTGCGAGAAGGTCGGGGGGATTGTGAGGGGGCAGTATGGCGCCGAGGAGTAGGAGGCTAAGAATGACATGCAAACTTTGCGGATTGTTCAAGAGCGCAGGACCGCCGAGCTTCGAGAGCTTTCGGCAGCGCGGGCACCTGCTCACCGCCGGCTGCATTTAGAGGCCGTCGTCGACTGCAACGGGGAGACGGCGGGGGATCTCGACGCGGGCGGGGCTATCTCGGCTGACCGCTGGGGGGAAGTTGCCAGGGGGAGGGGGGTCAGGGGGGGGGAGTTCGCGCGAATTGATCTTTTCATTCGGCCCTGCAGCCCGTCGACGCATGGGAAGATCTCCTTTGAGAGGTTTCGCGAGATCTTGAATCGCCGCTCTGATAGCACGCCCGGGATCGACGGAATACCCTGTAGTTCGCGCAAAGCTGGCGGTTTTTCGTTGCA